AAAAAAATGTGGATTTTCCACATACTATCATTGTTACGAATTTTCAAAAGGAAGTTGCCATGAGAGAAAATTGTGATATGTATGAATATTACATACTATTGCAATATTGCGAGAAAGTAACGTGATGTAAACACCACTAGTACGAATCACCACCATAAATCTTTTTCCTCTACGTCACATGCAGTTTTCTGACAAAATAAATCTAAATCTAGTTTTATTCAAATGCTCTTAAACGAAAACAAGCTTTTCTGCCTCTGAATTTCCGTATATTCACGAATCTATATAAAATGCTGACCAAGATGCGCGATGCGTACTTTATCCATAATAAATATATTGTTTATATTAACGTGAACGAAAAGGCAGCCTATATCCCCTCTGTTATCATTGCGTGTTACAATAGGCTGCCAATAAGCAACAATGACACTATTTCGTATTGGATACACATTTTGCCAATTAGCATTGTGCATACCGCTACTAAGAAAATGAAAAGAATGGAAAAATATAAAATAATTTATATAATATTTTTATAGTTAATCCAAATTCTCAATTTCTACATGGCATAACTCTTCGATTCCCCATCTTATTTAGCCAGAACGAAATCATCTATTCGTTTTCACTAAAAACTCAATTAAAATAGGTTTTAAATAATTTCAAAGATTAATTTTTAAAGTGTCTAACAAAAAGCTCGAATGTAAAAAAACGAATAAGAAAATGAAATTATATGCTAACACACAAAGCATCCAACTGCCTGGAATTGCGACCCCAGAAGCGCAGTAAATTCGGGACGGGCGATTATGTTGTCCAGCAAATTTCACAAAAAATGCTAATATTTTCAACAAATTCAGATCTATTTTTTAATGAAACAACATTTAATTAAGAACAAATGTATCTTCTTAATTGTATTTGCTGGAAAAAGGGCAAAACATTGGATAAGATTTTTTTCAATTTTCTTTTTCCTACCGCCGAGCAGTAAGGAAAATAAAAGTAATAAAGTGAAGAGTTGTTGCTGACGCCATGGGTTCTTGAAGTATCTTGCATTTTGTTTCTTTGATTCTTAAATCCGATTTCAAATCTTGCAGACTTGTTGCCTCCTGGCGTTTAGGTAATAGGAAAGCGAAATTTCAGAGTGTCTAAGGAATGCCTGGAGGTGCGTGAGGTCATGTCCTCGTACAGTGGGTGAAATGAAATTTTCGGGAAAGTGTATTGAGTAATTTCGTATTTGACTATTGCAGATTGATGGAGGTAGGTACTTATAATGTGTAGATATTATATGTCGTGCCAAAGGAATACGTAAAATTAGACGGAGGATCTCTGTTTTCGGTAGATTGGTTTCATTGGCAGTGGGAACTAGTTGGGATGAGAATGAATTGAAATGGGGTGGATATTAAGTATAGAAGTTAGTAGTTTCTTTGGACATAAGGGACTGGGATGTAAAGGCCAATTGAGTGCTTTGGTTCGCATGGAAGTGGTTGGCTCCTGAGAAGGCGGGAAAGGTTATATCACGTATTTAAAGGGGGGATTTTCCAGGGCAATCGCGTATTCACTATTGTCAAGGGAAGAAGAAGGGATGGAATTTATCATAGCCGCTAGATGATATATACTCTTGGCTAGTATGCCTAACGGCGTCGCACTTCGCCGATCCTAATGGAGCTAAGCGAAACGGACGAAGTTTCACATTGTGCTGAGCGCCTGTCGCCGATCATTCGCGTGACTTTGGGCCGCTTTAATTGTGGGGAAATTCCGCACATCGGGCCAATTTTGGTCACTTAGTCGTGCAAATATGACCACGGCGTGCGAACTCAGGTTGATTGGTAATCTAAAACAATCTTAAGAATTATTGTATTATATGCAGATTTGCTTAATAGAAATATATGTGGCGTGTCAAAAAAAAATTTTAATTTTCTTTTGCGTGGCCCGCTTCCAAATTCCACAAAATGAGAGCAATATATTGCAGACATCAGAAATAAAAATCAAACAAATCAGACATCTCGTGATTTCCAATGACGTTTGTGAGAAAAATATATCCACTTTTGATTGCAGAGTGTTACTATAAAAGAAACATCCAAAACCTGTATCAGACGATCACTCCCATTCCAGTCGTGTTTCCCATTTAATGTAAACAGAAGGTGCATTGTGCTATATGTGAGTGCGTTTGTGTCGAATGATGAAGAATAACTAGAATTGTAGGTAGCCAAGCGTAAGGGTTATATATTTGATTAACATTAAGAAACGTTAAGGAAATGGTATGTTTAATATCTATCTTACTATGGAGATAATTTGTTCTTGACGTTTAAAATAAATCAATATCTTCTTTAAATAAACAGCTTTGAAGGTACATTACCCGGTAAACTTGACTATCGCAATTTATGTGAACAGATGTTCCACAACTGTTTCGATCTTTGTTGTAAAAGATACCTCAAAAATATATATAAGCTAGCTTCTCTCGAGAGAGAGGGTGAGCTTCTTGTGTGACGACGAGCGCTAAACATTCTATATCTATTGACATAATTGTGTAACATTTGATACTCAGATTAGGAGACACTGTTACTCCACGAGAAGTAAAATTGAGAGGATTCTCTGTATCCACTGTGAATCAGACTAGTGTTTCTCACAAAAATTCTCACACCGTTTGTAATGTCGGCATCGCCGTATATTTGCAGTAGTAGCCAAATCAAGAGAATGGACCCGAGAGCAGCACCGCCAGTCGGAACTTTTACCTGAATAAGAATCAGGCGGTAGTTTAAATTCTCATAATTCCTACCACAAACCTACTCACATTATAGCACAATCACCCGTCTGGTTTACATTTTAAGGGAAACACACGGAATTGGGAGGATCGTCTATGATACAGTTTTTGGAGGTTCTAGAGGAGTGCCGATGGCTTTTAACAGCATAGCTAGAGGAAGGGACTATGAGCTACTTCTGTGTTGGCGCAAGCAAAATGAGAGAGATTCGACAGAGCAAAACATGTTCGGAAAGAAGGTTATAAATCACGAATGGAGTGCTAGCTGATTGTTTGAGAAGATGTTTGAGTGCTTAGGAAATCTCTGAAGGGAAGGGAATATAGGGCTCAAGCTAAATATGGGGGCAGTATTTATTTGGGAAGTTTTAACGGAACGGGACTTACCTGCAGTTAAAGAGATGGAGAGAATGGGGAAGTCACCGAACCCTATCAGAATTGCTAGGATAAATGAGACAAGGCTGGCAAAAGGAGCAAGGAAGTCTGGAAATGCTAGCGTTGATTGAATGGAGGCTTTTGCTAGCTCCCACCGAGAGAACAACCTGATGTAGGAACATCATCTGATACAACAGCTGAAAAACGACCAGCAGAAATGCAAGGGACTACCGAAGAGTGAGGGACCAAAAAACCCACAGCCCCGACTCGTTACGTAACGCCACGTATCCGTTTTGACCCAACGTATTGAATGGCGAGGCCCAATGAGGCGAGCGTAAGCGAATTTTATTGACACTAGAACGGATATCGGAGACCGACCACGTCGAGTACCAATTTGTTGAGGGCCTAACAGTTCTGGTAAGTAGTGTGATGTAAACTTTTGCGTCTCGACGGCGCGAAGCGTTAATTCATCCACACTTGAGGTGTAGTAAATTTGCCCTCCCGGGAACTTCCAAAGCTGGCAGGACTACACAACCCATTAATCTCCTGAAACTGAAATGGACAGTAATAATAATCTATGAATAATAATCATCAGAAGTAAAGACATTATTATTTGTATATTACAAGATACTGGCAGTGATTGGCAATTGTCTCCATGCGCTTGCATGGTCATAAAATAGTGATTAATACACCATGTATCCCTACATCCCCTATTACACTGAGGCTTGTCTCCCATTCATATGGAGATTATATTTACATTTTTATCATATTTGACAATATATGGATAACGCCGATCCTGGGAACGTCCCCCCTAAATACGTTGATATAACCCTTCCCGCCGCTCTGATTGTGCTCAAGAGTGAAAAAAGTACACCACTTCTCGAATTAGTGCACATAGATCTTCAGAGTAGATCATCAAGCATGACATGCCTTTACATCGCTCCGCTATTTACTCCTTCGACGAACGATTACGAGAACCTTGTGTTGCCAGCACTGTTATATTCCCCTCACACTGCAATTATTATCTCCATTTCATCCCACCCCATCCAAGCATCGGCCCATCTGGAAAAACTGTACAGAATCCCCTATCACCGTCCACAATTCCTCCGGTCCGAATATTGACTTCTCTACCTCGAATTGGTCACGGTTATACCCACATCCAAATTATACCCCTACATTTTAGTCACTTTTCTAGCCTACCTCCATCCACATATATGGCCCCGTCATTAGTTCAAATTAACTATGACAGCCCCAACGTATATAGATTCTGAATCATGCGACTCCCGAAAATTATCACCCCACCTCGTACCGAGACATACCTCAACGCACCTCCAGGCATTCTTAACAAATTCCTGAAATCCGGTCCTGATTGCCGTGCGTAAAAGCCAAGCCAGCGTGTAAGTAAGCGGGCCTTTGAACTAATGTCTGTAGCGAAGATGTTGAATATTCGAATAAGCCACATACCCTCAAGAAGCACTAGAATACCCAACCTAGGCCCATCATGATCACCCTCCACCAAACTAATAATCCGACCCATGCCCTCACCAGCAGTCCGTACGAGGAAAGAGCGAACATTACCCCGCCGTTCTTCACTCCTTTACTTTTGTCTACCATCTCTTCGCTAGCTAATTTAATCGCTTACCGCGGGTGTTTTGAGCGAAAAAAAAAATTCTTGAAAAAAAAAAAAAAGAACCGATAGTTTCGGCCTTTTCCCACAAATACATTTAAAGATACATTTTTCTTAATTAAATGTTGTGTCATAAAAAAAATCTTAAATCTTGATTGTTTTGGAAAATATTAGCAATTTTGTGAATCTCTGTACAAACATGAATCGGCGTGCTCTGCCTAATCCAGAGAATTACTGACGCTGTTGCTCTTGGTTTCGCAAGGTCCAGGCAGTTGATGTGAAAGAAAGTCAGTTAAGTTCGAGGGTAGCCGTGGCGTAGAAGGCTATAATTTCATTTCTTATTCGTTTTACATTCCGAGCCTTTTGTTAGACACTTTTAAATTAATCTTTGAAAATTACTTTAACCTATTTTAAACTTGAGTTTATTCAGTGAACACGACATAGATTGAGTTCCGTTTTTTCTTAAATAAAGAAAGCGGATATGAAGAGGAGGGTCCAGGGAGAATGGGAGAATGTGACTGGAAGTACGAAAAACATACTTACAGTATGAAAGTAGTATCTAGTGCCCAGCCAGTTGTGTCAGCGAGAACCTGGTTGTTGTCGTCCAACCGTACCGGGCGACCAGAAAGACAACATGACGACGGAAGGTCGCCCATTAAAAGTATAAAATGTAATGTTTGTAGTATGGAGGCATTTTCTCCAACGCCAATGTAGCCCGACTCCGTTTCGAAAATGAGGAGCCTCCATAAAAAGCGTGTATGGTAGGGGCCACAAAGCCGAAAGCAGCCGAAAGGAGGGGAACCCAAAGGCCGCTCCTTCAACTTGAGCATGTAGTTGCTAATTCGCGGTACTGAAAGGAAAGTGGGACGTGAGACTAAGAAACTCAGCCTAAGGTCAGAACCCCCATTCCGCGCAAAATGATAACAAGATTAAAAGAGTGAGGCCCACCGGAGAACAAAGTTTACTGGCCTGAATGGTCCACTTAGTGCCGCGCTGGCGGTTCCACCGCCGGAGACAACAATTATTAATAAGTGAACAGAGAACCCTCAGATGACAATGCTGTGGGAAGGGAAGGGGCAAGTTATAAGAACCACGGGACCGAGGGACCATTGTTCCGAGATCTTATCCTTAGCACGACTGGCTCCTGTAAGACATTTTATGATTCTCAAATAAATGATGGGTGATCGGAAGATGTCAGCCGAGAATCATATGCACGTCAACAGCTGACTTGGGCAAAATGTAGCCGTCATTTTTGTCAGCGGAGGGTTGTCTAATGCCCAAATTTTTTGAATCAAGGAACCACCATAGCAGGGATTTAGATGCTATTTTTGTCGAAAGAAGAGACGGCGTGAGTGTGACGTAGGAGTGGAGAACAAGCACTGAGAGTTATAGTCGTCTCACAATGGGTGGGGCGCGGTGATTCGTACTAGTTCGTAGTTTGGCATCAGTCTTCATGTTCGGTTACCTTTTCTGCATAGTTGGCAAGTGCGTCATCTTAGGTTGGGAAAGTACCATAGAAGATCAACTTTTATGAGATTGGTCAACACTGAAGTTCTGCTCACGGTTGTCTCAGACTCTAGTGTTGTGTTGAGACATAATTTTCCGGCTCTATAGCAGCCGAGTCCTATTTAACCCCCGTTTGTATAGCCAGAACGCAACCTCATGACCACTCAGTTATCTCGAACGGAGCGTTGCCTTTTCAGGTGAACGAGAGTTTAGAGGAAACTAAGATAACATTCTTTTTCGAAGCAATTCATGCCTCAACATATGGTTTTTATAACGGAAAACAAAATAAGGTCTGTATCTTATGGTTTTTTGCTCATTGAGTCCACACAAGTTACTGGGCATTGGTACAAGCTTTGTGTCTCGCGTGAGTGCGCACGAATCTTACAGTTACTACGACAAGACTTGCCGTCTTCTGCTTGCGTTAGCTTCGGCGAAACGCCACACACGTATCCGCGTGGCAAAGTTTTGCATACTCAAAACAGACACTGTGGCTTCGTTAAACTGTTCATCAGTTAGGTTTACGACAGTACTCGTCAAGCCTATGTCTGTTACTACTTATTTTAACGGAAACTTGACCATATTCGAACTCAAGTGGCACACTGTTTGAGTAAAATAAGTAATGTTTGTTTGTCATTAAATTGTTGCTGGATAACATTGGTACCATCTTAGCGAAGAATCCGTTAATAAAAATACCACTGAATAATATTTATTCGTTATTTTCTAAGAAGTAGCAAAAAAGGCGGAAAATGTGGTATTTATGGACCATTAAACCGATTTTTAAAACTGTTTTACTGGTGCCCATGTTGATCTAGTATCCAAAACTAACTTTTTTCGCTAAGTCATTGAATTATATTTTTTCGCACAGCACTATATATATATATATATAATAATATATATTATATATATATATTTATAGATATATATATATATATATATGATTGCAATTTTCGAGGGTATTATTCCGAATGTAAGTGTTATCTGGATAATTGTCAAAAATTTCTAAAGTGGCGGCAAGGAAACCGATTTTCTCTTTCCAATGATTTTTTTCTTACCCACGCACTATAGTTTTCTTATTCTTGGTTTCTATTTTTTAAACAAAAAGACGACCCGGCCAACCAAATATTTTGAAAAATATTTTGTATTGGTGTGTTTTTGTCAATCGACAATGTTCGTTAAAATTCGCAATGGTTCGTCACTCGTCAGTTCGTTGCTCGTCGCTCGATGACCAACAGATGTCCTGCGCATGTCCGTGAAATGCAGGTGAAGTGGAGTGTTCGCCTGGTGTTCGCGTCATGTTTGTTCGATGTGGTTCGCTGTTTGGGCCGGTTCCAAGGTATCGCCCTATTATTTTATAATATGTCAGAAGCAGACTTCAAGCACATTCCCGTAGAAGAGACGGGTTTGGCCGTCTTTTGTAATAAGGAGTTTCGACAAATATCATGTTTTGTTTCCTTAAGTTAAAAGAATTTGTTGTGCTTGGCGTTACTAGAGGAGAAATACAAACATTTAAAAATTTCAACTTGCAGGAATGCTTGTAGTAATCCAAAAAACGACGGTGGTCTAAGGACTAACTCAAGATTTGTTTGCTTAATGACAATATATTTTTTTCATTTTCTGTTGTATGCATAGATCTACCTACTAAATGTTTTTTAATTGCCACTACTTGGAAATATTGCTTTCAGGATGAATGGAGAAATGGAGTGGACAGCAAATGCAATTTTTTCTTTTGTCAATGATCTTGAGAGGCTTCCCATTTTGTGGGATAGCAGAATTCCCCAACATAAAATGGGAAAGAGAAAAAGTGATGTATGGATGCAGTTGGCAACAAAATATAAGTGCACACCTGATGAACTAAAAAGAAAGTGGCAATCTTTGCAGGTAGCTTTACTCTACTGTGGTTTATATTGAATGTAAAATGAACAAAACTCAATATTGCTTCTTCCTCTTTTTCATAGGCTGCATATAGGCGTGAGAAAATGAGAGAAATTTCTTCTGGAGGCCAATATAAATCACGTTGGTTTGCATACAGTAGTATGAGTTTTGTAGGAGACAGATATAGACCAAGGAAAATTGTTGCAACATCTGAGGTAGGGCAAATCACAATATTAAAAAAGTTATTTGTAGCCAGGGTTGGGCAAAATACTTTAGTATTTAAATACTTCACCAAAATACTTCATTAAAACATATTTAAATACTTACACAAAATACATTAGGGCTTGATGTGCTAAATACATACATATTTTAAATACTGTAAATATTCAATAATTTTGTATTGCATATTATTTATTGCAACAATATAATTGTTAATTACAGTAAATTAATAAGTGACTGTCATACAAATTTCTGAACAATAGCTATTATAATGTAACTAATTTTTCAAAAAAATCTTCAGACAATTAACCCCTAGTTGGAGTATAAAACCTTCAAAGAAAAATTGTGGATGAATATGAACTAGTCCTGTAACTAATAAACCCTTTTTTTATTGTTGAATAATTGTCCAACATTTTTTAGATTGATTTAGATTTATTGTTTAAAAATGAAGAGAATCCAGATTCAAGAGCTGAAAGGAACTTGTATTTTTGTTTTAAATGAGGTACATTCACTAGTGGACTCAAACAAAAAGACACTCTCCTCCTTCTAAAATATCTTCTGTGTCGACTGTAAAGTATTTTAAGTATTTCTTTCTTTAAATACACCTACTTTATCTATTTAAATACATCTTTAAAATAAATGACACAAAAACTCAGAAATCAAATACAAGTATTTAAATTCTGCTCAACCCTGTTTGTAACTTGATGTCAACTATTCAGTGAGATGTTTTCAGCCTTTCAAGCCTACGAGTCAAACAATGCACAAACTGAACTTGTGAATAAATCAATTAATACAATAGTACTTGCTCTTGGATATATTCTTAATACTATATCCATAATACATGTACTTTTGTGTGATCCTAATATTCCTTTATTGCCTTATGAACTACGCCTTGAGAGAAAATAATAACAGTCAATACTTTTTAACAGTATACTATTATACTTAATATTCATTCCAAATTATAATCCATAATATACAGTTTGTAACAATCAACCCCTTATTAAAAACATTTTTGTAATTTTTCACAATTAAAATCTCTCACAAAATGATGTAACAAATAAATTAAATGTTCATTGTATTTTGAAAGTTTGTACCTAATCCTTGTAATTGCTTCCAGAAACTTGAATGTTTTGAAGCCAAAGAAGAGGTAAGAAATGAGGAAGAACAAAGACTTACCGGTGATGATGAGCCTACTTTGGAAGAGGAGCAGGAAGAAGAATCTCAAGAAGTCGATGTTGAAGACATGCAACCAAATATGGAATTTGATTCTGAACCTAGAACATTCATTCCATCTAAAATCCACGATTTCAAAAAGATGAAGCTTCAGTATCGTGATGAGGCAGCAGTAAATGAATCTTACAATACTTTGAAACAAACTACCATTCCAGAGTTAGAAGAGAGGAATGAATGTGTGATATTTGGGGAGTATGTGACTAAGAAGCTGAGCAAATTTGATGATCATTTGTCAGCTTTAGTACAGCATGAAATTCACAATATACTATTTCAGGCTGAGATGGGTTACTTGACTGATGTTTCACTTTCTTCACAGAATTCTTTTATTACATCTGATTTAAGTACCAATTTGAACTCTGTCCACTCCCCAAGTTCCACGAGCCATCACACTAATGTGTATGAAATACATCGACCACAATAAAAATTGTTTTCATATCTTGTGGTACAAAAAACATCACTTATAAGTTCCATAATTATTTGCAGGTCTCTAAGAATTTACAAATTCCAGTCACCTCTCCAATGAAAACTCTTTCTTTCCAATCCTTTCCACAGTCTTGGGTAATATGTAGATCAATGGAACATTACCCTCCTCTCTGAAGAACAAGTTGGGAAATGCATGTGTCACTGTTGGTGGTTTCAAAATTGCGTGCATAGTACCTAAATCTGGTGGCAGGCATAGTGGGCAGAGAGAAATAGTGTGATTATCTCCTGCCTCGTAACATCAATTAAAGGGCACACTTGAAGAGAGTAAAATTTGCTTAGAAGTGTTTTGTTTAAAATTCTTTCAAAAAGCTGCAAAATTTTGGCATAAAAATTCAGCATTGCTGGAGAATTATAAAACAATAGTCATCTTCACGTTGAGCTAAACAAATGTGAAAATATGAGTTTTTCTCTTTTGAGTCTTTAATTGAATTACACATCATAGTAAAACATTGAAAATGTGACTTTAAAGAAGAAGACAAAAAAGTGTTTAATAAAGGTAATAATTAAGTTAACTCTTTTCCCCAGCCCCCCAAAAAGGAGCGAAAAAATATTTGATTGGTTAGAGCAGTATTTTCACAATTGTTAGTTCGCTGTGTTGACAACCAGGGGTGGATTCAGAGATTATTTTTGAGTGTGTTTGTGGATTTTATATTTATATAATTATGAATTATATATTTAAATAATGCAGATTTTGTAGAATGACACAGGCTACACTCAGCTCATGCTGCAATACGGTTTTATTTGCTTTAATAATTACTCAAAAATAGTTTTGCTTGAAAGTTTCATGTCAAGATAAAATTAATAATTACCTAAAATTTGGGTGGTGGGGGAGATTTCCCTCCCTGTGGATCCGCGCTTGTGTATCTACTATATACGAGCTAGTATTGCTTTCATTGATTTTATGGACACTTTAATTGTGATTAATGTTTGTATATTTTCCATGTATTGCTTGGTGTTAAATTTTCACATTAATTAGGGAGCAAGATTGTTTCACATAAGTTTGAAGATCCCAATCGACGAGTTCATAAGAATTAGACTATCAGAACATTCTGTACTTTTGGATAGGATCATCTAATTTTGGCCCCTTTTTTGTGTGTGTTTATTCCATATTCTTTGTCACAATACTTTTCAACGTCAAATGGGTTTCAGTATTTGAGGCATTTTTGCATGTCCTCCTTTGAATAATTTATTTTCAGGGATTCTTTTACCAATTTATTATCTAAGTTTCCTTCCTTTCTTTGTGATCATAGTGAAAGGGCACACATCAAGATAATCTACTTATCCTACCTTTCCTTGCAATAGCCTTATGTCCTTTTTGAACACTTCCAGCACCAGCACATTCTGCTCACACGAATTTTACTTTTAAGGAAATTGTATAATAATAATAATTAATAGTATAATACCAGTGCAATAGTGTCCTGTCCTCAAATTCTGTGTTTAGTGAAACAGGCTGATACGTATTTTTGCATTACATAAAATACATTTCAGAGTGTTTTTATGGCAGAAATGTGTGGTTATTTTAATGAAATATTACTCTGGTATTGTACTTTATTGTTCATAAAACGGAAGATTAAGAAATCATCTTTTTGCATGGTTAATTGATTTGAGAAAGGAATGGCTCTTGAGGAATGGAAGTTTGGCCATTATTGCACACATATTCAGAATTATAGTTGTTGGGTCCTCTAAGGGTGCTAATTGACAGGTCGTGCTGGGTATTGTCTTTGGTCATTTGATCTGCCCCGCTGGGAAAGTATTAATTTGTTTCTATTTATGACACTGTGATTCCATACATTGGTGCCTCATTTACGATTTCCACAATTAAGAAGGTTCAAATCATCAAGTCTAGTAATTTGCAAAAGAAAGCTTTCCCAAGAGCATTCGTAGGATTTGTTTAGACTGTTGTGTAAACAAAGATTATCATTTCACTCATCTATTAATCGATTTGTGTTGCTCCTTCTCCACAGAAAATTGTTAAAGCACATCTTGGAAAATATCTTCAAAAAATGTATAAGAAAGGATGTCTTCAGAGACTTACAGGAAAGAAATGTACAAGTAGTAGTGCATGCCTTTGCAGTCTACAGCAGGATTGCACTTCACTGGTAAAATTAATGTTCATTTGTGAGTGGAAATATTCTGTAAGAAAATTTTAGTTTTAGTCAATAAATAATTATATATATAGTTTTATTCGGCATTAAGACATGAAGCAAAAACTTCCTCTCTTCTCAATGGTGATGTAGGAATGTTACTGAATACAGTAATGGATCATAGGCCTGAAGTACTATTGTGGAAGAATAGGACTACAGAATAAAGAGAAACATGCTAAAACAGTTCTTTTTGGAATGAAATGAAATTATTGAAAATAGTGAAACCTTTACATTTTTGCAGTGTGATTTGTGATTAAAGCATGGAACTCACTTTACAAAGCAATGGGTTGAGGCACGCTGAGTGTCATACATCTTTTAGTTCATATATGCCTTACGAATACATTTCTCCTAATATATTCGCAGATGTTGAACATCAAAACGCAGGCATACACATTCACACAAAAAAATTATCCATGTTACACATTCAGAATGTTTTCAAATTCGTTTACAGCTCGATGGGTGTATTATGAAACAGTAAAATACCTCTCTGAGATAGGCATAATGCTTTGAGGAAACACTATAAACATATCATAGAATTTTAGATCAAAGAAAATAGTGGTGCAACATCATTTAATTTCTCATGTTTTCGGTAAGGCTAAGTAGTCTATATCATATAATTTCTCTTATAATCGATAATGGTAACATAATATCCCTACTTCTGTTCTACAAACACTTCAGCCATCACTTGAACTCCTAATGAACAAAAGGATGTGAGGGGGGAATCTTTAATTGTTTGAAAGTTCAAGTGTACATAAAGATGGCTTTCTGCCATTAATTCTTAATATTATGGCTACGGTTGACAAAACAACTTATGGAAACTCACTATTGTTTAGTTGGCAGCAGATTTAAACAAGTGAAGTATGCATTCTGCAAGGATTCTCCAAAAGTAAACTTCAGCCTAAAATTGGACCTATGAACTACATTTTAGAAAACTGTGCCATATTGGAAAGAAGAAAAACAAAAAAGAGGAAGTTTTTCAGAAAATCTTAGTTATTTAGTAGAAATAGCCAATTCTAACATTTTCAAAAAATTGTACCTCACATTATTTATAGATCAAACTGTGAACTACAGATTTCATTAAGAACTAAATCCCCTATTTTTGATAATAATAAAGTTGAAGAAGGTTGTAAAAAAAAATTATGATCCTTTGCAATTTTCATATCAGATTTTATTGAATAACAAATCTACACAATTTTAATAAGCAATTTTTTCTCTATTACAGGGAGAAGAAAAAAAAAAGAGGGGTACTTTTTAGAAAATTTAAGGTCTTTTAAGAAGATTAGTTATAAATTTGAGAGGTCACATCATTATCTAGATTAATCATGGGGAATTCATTTTGAACAAAATTATGTTCGACATTGGTGCTAGTATTGTTCGCAACCACTTGGACAACTTATCACTTATATTAAGAGCACTTTGGGAAAAAACCCAAGGAGCAAGAGAAATCCACAAAATGACACTTTTTCTTGCAGCAATGCATAACTTTCTCTTACCACAAACCAGCAAATATAAAAGTAAAGATTGAAGAATAGCAAGTAGGCCTAAATGCCTACCACATAAATGTGCAGCCCTTTTTACATTGTTGAAAATACATCATTCTCTTGCCGGTTACATAGATATTAGTGATTTTTGTTTAATCAGAATGACTCAACAGAGAAGGTATATTTTCATTCAGTTAAGACGTTTACAAATATATCTAAGTAATCATTTATAATCAATGCTTCATTATCATTTGCACACTGCAACAAATCCACATTTTTCTTGTAGACAACGTGCTTTCACAGACCAAGTCATACCTTGAGGTCATTACACTTATCAAGAAAATCTTCACTGGAGCATTAGCTTCTTTTGTATATTAAAGAGGCAGGAACACTTCCTGTCTCACCTAAGTTGGCTGATTGCAACACCTTCAAGGACACAATGGCCTTAAAAGATAAAGAACTGCCCTCCATGTACAGTGTTATTTGGTCATGCATTTACAAATATTCTTCAAAGCAAGAATGGCGAACTTTTTGACTAAATGTGCCTCATTACCTTTAAATTTAAAGTGAACCATTTATTTCCCATAAGATTGAAAAATTAAGCATTAAGTAAATTTAAGTATTTTTGTTATTTATAGTAATTAACCTAATTAATTGTAACATGACCATACAGGAAAGTGTCTTTTTCTATCTCTTGGTTATAATGTCTGTAAGAAGTGTAGTCTCAAACTAAAGAAACATAGAAGTATAGTTGATATCTTGTTCTCTTGAGTTTGCAGTTTGATAATTGTATGAGTTTGAAGAGATTTCATTTCATTTACACAAAAGAACAATTTGTAAGTCTCAAAAATTTTTAGCCTGTTTTCTTGTAGTGTACCCACAACATGCAACATTCTAATATTTGATTTGTCAAAATTAAGTGTTACTGAAGGGTTAAGGAGTGCAGAAAGAAAAATCAAGCTTTTTTGAAAACATAACATATTTAATGAAACCTTTAATAAATACTATTGTATTGTCTAACCTTGACATTTTATTTTTTGGTTGAAAGTAATCCATTTCCATTTTCCAAGAAATTACTCTCGAGCATTATCCTCTCTTCCTTCCAAAATATATAAATATCTTACAATCTTTATAAATTCAGAACTTCATTGAAAATTCAGAAGAATAAAACTCTTTAATCAGTAACTCTCAATCATATTTCAAGCAAACAATTACAAATATTTACACATATTTCTATATGTCAGTAAACTTAACAGTAAATACTCTTTCATCAATATTAAATTACAATTCCATGGTTAGGTACACAGTACTTCAATTCAAGTGAAGTACAACTTTATAGATACAAAATAGGTAACTTTGTATGGAAGACCCAACATGAACTGTACACTGTAACTCTGAAGAAAAGAGAGAAACAAGCAGTTGTAAGTGAAGAATGAGCTGTTAAATAGATAAAAAATGTCCGTGAAGGAAGAGTATCCCTGAATTACAAGTGTTAATTAATTGATAAGAAAGCTCTTGTTTAATGTAACTATGCAGAGCCCAATTATATAAAGTTTTGGAAAAGTTCAGAACTGAAGGATTGACAATTTTTGTTAAGAATTTTATGCAATTGAAAGCCTTCTGAACAAATTAAACATTTTTACTAATGCACGAAACATTACATTATTAGTTCCCTAAGAAGGCATTTAATATTTTTTTATTATTATTGCATTCCTTTTCAACACAAGGATAATAACGGTTTTTGACAATTAAATGAACAGTAGTTTGTCTAATATTACATGAGAAATTAATGAATGGACATGAATAAGTTATGAGCCCTATTTAGCACAAAGGGAAGAAGAAGCAAGATTATTCTATTCTAGCAATTTTCCAGAATGGGCAGTGATCATTGAAATTCATAAAAACTTGGCTTGTTCAATTAGTATAAATGTGAAATTAATTTGTCTATTGTGAGTATTATGTCTATTAAGTTGTAGTCTGGTCAAGAGAAAAATTCAAATTCTTTTTGACAGATGACGATTTTCTTCTATGGAAAATTCATGTCACTGATTTACAGTTTGTGTATCAGGTTTTTATCAAAATTTAATTTACATTTTATAGGATGGAACAAAACTTATAGAAATTTCCTTGCATGAATAATAACAAATGGTTCTGTTGGATGATTAATTTAACTTTTGTTTAATCAGATACCATGTTTTCTTATACCCACTGAAATTTACATGTAAGAATCTATTTGAATAAAGCTACTTGACTTTTTGACAGTGACGACATCTTGGAAAATTTAATTTATACTGAGAAGAGCTGAAAAGTACTTTACTGACTATAGACACTAGAAGTACAGCAATACAGAATCTCTCTTTCCTTCATGTTCAACACATTATTTAGTAGCTTCTGGTAAAACTTTTGCATTGAAGTCAATTCCTGACATTTTTAATATTTCACTCTTCTTTTCGAAGTAATCTCTATACCATAAAATGGTTTCTCGTTTTTCTTCAACTTTAAGGTAAGCATTTTTGGACAGTCCAACACACACAAGTTCCATAAAGTGTCGAATGGGTCCTTTGGTTGGACACCATGGAGTCAAATGCTTCTCCAAGAATACATGCTCTGTGAATGGAACTTTTGCTTCTTCATGTAAATCTGTAAAAAAAGAAAGGAAAGAATGGTGGGTAAAAAACCTGTTAAGAAACTATAAAAGAACAAAAATTGATGGAGTATTTTAATTTAATTGACAGCAACAATAAAAATAATCTAAATGCATTTGATAAAAAAATTAGATCATGATTATTCTTCCAATAAAATCTGTCTTTACAAATTTATACAATGACAGATGTGTAAATAGTGTCAAAGGGAAATTCATTACCTTGTTCATTATCTATTGGAAATTTCCAGAGTATTCCCTTTTCTGTCCATAGGATCATTTCTTCTAATATGTTAGATGGAGGATGAGTCACTAAGAGATTCAACTCTCTTTGATACAGATGCTGCCAAGTATTCAATGACGGCACAGAAACAAAATTCGATGATGGATTAAATATTCCCAGTCTCTCTTCCCGAAAGAGGTTCTCTTTGCTTGCAGGTCTGGAAAGAGTGTACATTAATTTTGATATGGAAAGTTTAAACTCTTGCTAATCCAGCCCACATCTGGCCTTTAGTTCCTCAAAAAGAAAGGACAACAATGTGTTGTTAGTTAAAAATAATAAATAATGCTATACATCTTTGAAATTGAGACTTTCTTACAATACAGTTCAGTACTATGGCTTCTAAAATGAAACACGTTAAGCTAGACCTCAAGCACAAACTTCAAACTTGAAATTTTAGATAATTTGAACTGAGGTTCTTTAAAGAGAGCCATTTATAGCGAGCACGATGTCAGATGAGCAACAAATTTTCTGTGTACATGAATGTACAGTATTTTATTATTTTAGATGTAATAAATTGTATAGCAGCTGTATATTTAAACTAATTTCAAACCCTCTCAATAGACTTGCACTCTAATCTTTCCCTATTCCTTGCACTCTTATGTGCAAGGAAGTCGAGTGCAGGGATTCCCAATGAGGTCAGTATCAATCCCCTGGGGGTAGATGACATTTTAAAATTGGTTAATGATGATCAAGGAGTCGATTGGGGGTCATATCTGAATATGAGAAACAACTTTATCTGTAGGTCGATTGGAAGTTGATATTGATGACTTATTGAAACAAATTCTCATTGATTAAAACAAATTTATTCATTTCATTATTTTTACTTATATGTAGCAACAAAACACTTAATAATAAATTACAAATTTGCTCATTTTTTGTAATTTCATATCATTCACATTAATAAAATAAAACATTAGTGCAATTATTGTCTGTGATTTTGTATTTTAAAACTAATTTCTATTTGTAAGTTCAAAAATATTAGTCCTTAGTGCAAAATATAAATCTAACAATTTTTTTAAAACCTTGTTCTTATTATTTGTTTAATGTTATACTTTAGCAGTTATTTGTTTTATAATAATTCTAATGCTGTAATTACAAGAATATGAATGAAGGGGGTTGATGAAATAAACAATTCATTTAAAACAGATCAATGCATGAAGAAGGTTGGAACCAGTGGTCCAGTGTATTACAATTCATAACATTCTTTATCCTTCAGCTATCTAATTCTGTTTTACCATCAAAGTTAATGAACTTAAGAAAATCCATAAATGACAAGAAATTTCTGTAGTCATTTTGTGTGTGTCATTGTTTTGTTGACGTGTGGGATGATCGGATGGGAGATAAACGTGAGGTAGAATTGCTAGCTATGGCGGGATTTCGTCGGATGTGTGAATTTATGGTCAGGAGATAATGCTGTAAAATCATGGTGGCTATAATAACGGAAAGACAGTACCTGGATATGACTACGAGGTGTTGGAGTAAGTTATTGATAACTGGAGAGTAAGACCTGCAGCCAAAATCAAAGAATCGTCCACGAGTGCAAAGGATCAACAGACCAGGGAAGTGAGAAAGACGGTAATAACAAATATTTGTGGGAAGATCAAGTTTTGTTTAGGTATTAGGTAATTTAAATTAGTATAATATACTCGTAAATTGGTGTAATAAATGGCCTTGTGCCATATGATATGGGAAATCAAAAGGAGTATTATTATAGAAGTGTTATATGCATGATTTCGGTTTAAAGCCGAAGAGCTAAAATATACCGTTTGTTTCATGGATGTATATTTATAATTTCATTATGGTTGACAGAATCCCTAATCCCAGTAATTAACTAAACATAAATATTCTTTAAGTAAGTTTCGTCGCCGCAACTCAGTGCGGACGGATCTGTCGGCCCAAAAATTTACGGATATACCATGATAAATGGATAGGGTATTGTTAAAATAACCAAATAAAAATATTTAAAAGTATAAGATATTAGGTATTTTTAAGGTTGAAAATAAAACAGAAGGCAAGAGAATTCGTTAGTTTGGCAGGCCATTATGGGTCTGGCAGATTGGATAAATAATTAAATATAGCATTAGAGTTTATAGAAATTAAAAACCTGGTTCAGTGGCGTCCAACAGAAGTCGAAATTACGTAAAGTAAATAATTTGGAAAATATCAAGGGGGGGGGGGATATTTTTGAGAAATGAAAAACCCGGTTCTTAATAAATAAAAAGAAAATATGTTCAGCCTACTTACATTCTAGGTCTGGTTCTGTTTTCTGCATGTCGTGCCTGCCTCATTTCCTTTTCTTTGAAAGATGAAGGTCTTTCCTTAAATGCATTAAGATGGTCACTGCGGAATTTTTGTGTGGTTTGATATGACTCTTCAGGTGTTGCTGATGCTGGTGTTCGATCGATCTTCATTCCTACTATCAACTCGCTGAAAAAAAAAAAAAAAGCATTAATGTTATTCGTTATGTTTTAACATTTTATCTCAGTCAGGGCAATTAACTGGATGGAATAAATATGAAGATTCCAAGCTCGGGCATTAACCTAGGTGCTCTCTCAATCTTTGACATATGATTGACTACATTCCAAATTCATTCAGTAAACTTCTTTTCATGTTCAGGCAGAATTAGATTGTTATATACAGAGAGATTTTATGGATTAGAGAAGAACTGTCACTAAAATTCTGAATCCGATACAATTATCGAAGACAAGAACCAAAAATAAGTTGTATCAAAAAACCTTAAGTTGATGCTGGTCTTTTTTGGTACATCTGCTTGTTGGTGTTTCTCCTCACGAGACAGGAGCCTGTTCAATAATTCTGACTCTGTCTTCTTGATATCCCCTCCAAAGCTCTCTGCTACTTTTTTTGCTGCTTCTACTACATCATTCCCTGAATGTAAACAACATTTTATTACTACAAAAATAAACATACATTAATATGTTTTGTTTATGAGAACTTAAATTGAATTTACCTAAATTTTCATGCCTTCCTTCCGCTTTTAAATTTTCGCTTGCAGTAATATCTGTGCTTTGTTTGCCTTTTTCAGCTTCTTTCAATAAGATGGCTGATAATGATTGTTCTTGCTAAAGAAATATTTATAAACCATTTTTGTTAGATACAAATGTATTTAGAAATAAATTAACAAATAAATAACACAAAATGTAAGGGTTGAAAAAGTTTTTTAACAATAACACAACCTACTGGGTTTATTTGGGTTTAATTGTTTATGGGGAGGGGGGATCCATCCAAGACAAAGATTATTACCACTCATCGATGTATTCTGGTTATGTTAAAAAACAGTTTTCCCTAGCAAAATATTGGCTATTAACACAAACACAATGTCCAAAACACGAAAATATTTTTTTGATTTTTTTCCCGTTTTTGATAACCATTTTGAATTGACAGAAAGTTTCTGCAGCAATCGAACGAATCTTTTTAACTTATGGTTTGCTTAGGTCCAAGTTGTGGAACAATTTGGGCGAAGAAAAGGCGGAGAAATTGGCCAAAGTTTATCAACACCTATGAAAAACTTGGGCAGATATGTAATAAAGTTGTAATTATAATTTAAAATATAATATTTTTATAATGTTCATTAACAGACTATGTTGTAGATCAAAGAGCTTACAATTAATGCTCTAAATATGTATAATGTACATTTATAAAGTAATAAATTCCTATGTAACTATTTTAGAATTTAGATTATAACATTTATATAAAATATTTCATATTTTTCAAGTGGGGTATTTCATGGGGTTTACTAAAAAACGGTGTTTTTTTGGTTGGGGAAATTGTGCCAACCCTGCAAAATATCAATGCGTTTGCTTATAGGTACTATCCAAAAAGACAAATTTGTATTAACTACAACCACAGAAAAGAGCATACAAAAAGGTTTTTGGGGTAGTTGGTATATATATACACTACATGATCAAATGTATCCGGACATGTCCAAAATGGTGTTATGGTGTGGTAGTGTTTTTCATAGAGAGGACTTGAACCCTTTGTTTTGTGGCACTATCACGGCATAGGCCTACGTTGATGTTTTAAACACCTTTCTTCCCACTTTCGAAGAGCAATTCGGGGATTGCGATTGCATCTTTTAACACGATCGAGCACCGGTTCATAATGCACGGCCTGAGGCGGAATGGTTACACGACAATATTGTAACGAATATTGCATCACATGCCGGAATTCGTTGCGCGCGGATTGCGTCATCTGCCTTCCCCCCCTCCCCCCGAACTAGACGGTTCCGGACTATTCGCGAGCCGCGGGGAAACGCCGAGAATGTGCCGGGAGCCTGGAGACAAGTGCCGCTGCCGGCGGCCGCGAGTCAGTGGGTAGTAAGACGTCAGTGAGTAGCAGAGAAGCAGTCAGTCCGTCAGTGTGTCCGAAGTGGAAGCTGTGCTGTGAAGGGTGCATCGTGGTAAGCAGCAGTGCAGTGGACCCTGGTGTGCGCAGAGAATTGTGGTCTGCGCAGGGAATTGGGTCAAGTGCATTGACAGTGGACAGTGCATCGGACTGGCTGATACTGTAGAAGAAGAGAACCGTGTAAATAAAATAGTGTGTAGTGTAAGAAGTGAACTGTGTAAATAAATCATCAAGAGAACGGAGTCGTAAGTAAAGAAAAATAATTATGTGTAGTATATCTGTAAATAGACCAAGTAGATTTTAGTGTATAATTGTTCACGAATAAACCTTCTTTGTTTAAATATTGTGTTGGTTTTAATTCACCACGGAGAAATGTTACAATATGTACAACAGATAACACAGAATACATTGGTTCGAGAAGAAATCGAGGAGATAATTTTGAAGAACGAAGAAAAAATAGAGGAGAACATTTCGAAGAACGAAGAGAAAGTTGAGAAAATGGAAGAAATTTCTGAAGAGTGAGGGAAAACGTCAAAATCCTTTAAAGGAGAAGATAATGTATCCTATCTTAAGGATCTCTGTGATTAGCGACCGATGGCAACTCAAAGAACTTCAGAACGATTAGAAAGACGATGCAGAATTTCGGAAATGGAAAATGACGGGACGGAGACGGTTGGCAAGAAATAGCTCCCTGTTCCTCAGCAGTCGAATCGTACCGGGCGCAGTGGGACTCAGTCGCAGAAGCGGCAGCAGCAGAAGTTTTTAATCGAGTTGTGGAAAATGAAGATGGCTCTCAGAAGAGGATAAATGATTTCTACCGAATCGAAAGGTTGCCGAATATATGACCAGAGGTGTTGCTGCTGTATTCAAGAGAAAATCCAGGAGAATAGAAGAATTAGAGAACCAGGAACCAGATATTGAGAATGACTTGCTTCACCGCGACGTGAGTAAATGTAATTTGTCATCACAAAAAGAAAGTCACATCGCTAGGCCACCTATCAGGATCTTGGGAAAACTCTGATTGAATTACACCAAACACTGGAAGACAACGTCCAGACGATTGCAATGCCCAAACTGGAAGTTTTGATAGACTGGACTGGAGAGCAGTTGGAAGTACACTGGAGTGAAAATCTTAAGTCTGCAACTACTACCAGGGAATGTCACCATATCTGAAGAAAACAGACTGTCAATTCTTCTCCAACTGCAATAGAAGCTCCAGCTGCACGATTTCACTAAACGCGCTCCGGGACGGATCGCATCTAAGGAGGGGCAATGTAACGAATATTGCATTACCTACTTGAATTAGCTGAGCGGATTGCATCATTTGCCGCCCCCCCCCTTCCCACCGAACTGGACGGTCCTCGGCTATACACGGGTCGCGTAGAAATATTGCGCACGTTCCCGATGGCTCGAGGCGGGCGCCGGCCAGGTAAAAGTTCGCCGCTGCCGGCGGCCGCGAGTCAGTGTATGTAATCAGTGAGTAAGCAGTCAGTTCGTCAGTGTGAGTATGCACTCGTCTGTCTGAAGTGGAAACTGAGCTGTGAAGTGTGCATCGTGGTAAACAGTGGTGCAGTAGGGGAACAGCAGTTTGAAGTCTGCAGTAGAAGCTGAGCTGTGAAGTGTGCATCGCGGTAAACAGCAGTGCAGTGGACCCTGGTCTGCGCAGGGGACCGTGTAGCGGACGGTGCGATATGATGGTAGTGAACAGTGTAAATAAATTATCAAGAGAACGGAGTCGTGTGTAAGAAAAATAATCAAGGGAAGAACACAAGGACTGTGTAATATATCTGTAAATAAATCAAGATTTTTTAATGTATAATTGTTTACGAATAAACATCTTTGTTAAAGTATATGGTTTGTGTTCTAATTCACCGCCGAGAAACGTTACAGGATGTAGAGCTAAACACTATTGATTTTAATTTCACAAGTGGAAAACTTGGAGCTGAAATTCTGAAGGCAATGCTTGTCGAAAAACGTGAGGAAATAAAGCATTTTCATGTATGTAAGCATGTAAAGGGGTGGAAAAAGGTGAGATGGTTCCATTTTCAGCGCACCCTTTGCATTTTCGAAAATTGAAAAATAATCAAAATTGTACATTCGTATTTCCGGCGCTTTGTTTGACGCCTTGTCAGTTTGCAAAATGGCAACACGTGGTTTCAAAATTCTTCGAATTCTTCCCAATGTTGTCAGTAAAAATAATCGTATAATGATTATATTCTTATAAAACGAAACATTAAAGACATGTAATAGATTTACATTAGAACGAACACTTCTTTAACTTTAAGAAGTTTTGATCGCTGATTAAGGTATTCAGAAACTGAAAGCTCACGCCAGTGCAATCACGCTTGTGTGCAATTATTCTTTTCTGTAATATGTGCTGCTAACACTAACAGTTAAAATTATTAATTTTGTTTCGTTGTAAAAGAGATTACTACTGTTCCTGACAATCAAATAAATTCAGATACGAACAACATGTGCGTTTGAATTTGTTGAATTGGACTTTTTTCAAGTAATAACTAAGGGGCTATTAGGGCAGAAATTGCAATATTTCTATATTACGTAACGTTTTCAAAGTAGTGCGAGAAAATATGAGCTGTTGCAGCACCAACAGTTTATTCTCGAATAGAGCAGAAGTACGGTTATAAAATGACGTAGTTTCTATTGTCAGTAAATTCCCTCTACATTTGTAAATTGCAAGAAATTAATATTGTGTAACTACACTGATACATTTTTACCGTAATAAAATTTGTTCCATGTACATTATTTAAAGGAACAGTTATCTCGTAGTTTTTGCTTGAAGTGAAGGCAATTACAAATATTTTCTAAAAATGGGTCCAAAAGTTTTAATTTTTTCCCTCGAAGTGAGCAAAGAAAAATAATAAAACTGGCACAGGGGTCGTTTTCGGTAACCATTTTCGAAAACCGAAAAAAATTGCGAAACCACGACATTATTCAAAGAATTTACTTAAATCTGTTCTTGAACAGTAGATCTTTCAAAATGGCCGAGTACAATTTTATTGGAAATATGAGTAGCTTCAAGAATTTTGCGTAAAATTCATGTTAAAAAATAAAAAACGAAACTCCATATTGGAATTTTTTGCGTATCTTTTTTAAAAATGTTTATAATTTATTCTTGCTTGGCCTGTAGCAGTCAGCAGTCGTGTACAATTATTACAGTGGTTGATTTTCTGAGAGGTTTACATTGTTATTTTACCATTATTATAGTTGTAGTTATTTCATTTCAGGAACATATTGCATTATATGAAAAGGCTCGTCGTGGCGAGTCTGCTTACGGAGCATCGCGAGTGTCTTACAGGAGATAACAGGTAGCAATGTGACAATACTAAAGCTGCAACACGACAGATTGAAATTCAAAGAATTAACTTATCATTGTTGTCGATGTATCTCGCTGTACGCAGGGGCGGATCCAGAGACTATTTTTTGTGGGCGGGGGGGTATGAATATATACACACGTACAGGGTTGTTTTAACAGTTTTGGGGGTCCTTGTACCTACGTTAATTTGTACGCCCCCAATTCTTACTTACACCGATCTCCTCAATTTAAAGACAAGTTTTGTTAAAAAAAATTGTGTATCACAGATATTCTCGCATCAATCAGCAACCTTTCATATTATAAATGTTATAGAGTGATGCGCGATACAACACTTCTTTATACCAATTTTCTGCGTATAGTTTAATTATAAATCACTTTTTAATTTCATTTTTGAAAAAAAAAATAGTATTAAATAATTTTGTTAAGAATTATCGGGGGCCCTGGACCCCGGTTTTTCAGAATGAAGGTGTGTACACCGTCCAGGCTAATGAAGGTGCACATATATAACCGCACAAAGCAGGGCGATTTCTATTCTTAGGTTTTTATTTTTTTAGCGCGCGAGGCGTCTTCGCGATGGAATATCCCACGATATTTTTCGTGTTTCTCAGTCGTGCCGCTACATATCGCGTGATCGTGATCGTATCGAGCAGTGCTGACGATCATGCGATATTTAGCAACACAACCGAGGAAGACGCGATATACCGTGAGATATTCCATTGTAAGACAAGTCCTCGTGCGCTAAGAAATAAAAAACCCACTATAGATGGTGTTGACTGACCGGAGGCAGAGGGAAGGAAACCCTGACAGCGAGAAGGTAGGAGATGAAGCAATGACCAGAGGGCAGTAGTAACGACTCCTTATCACGGCAACGGTTCGAAAAGGTTGTGGAGGATTTAGGCAGAGAATATGACACGTAATCTAGTTCTGTGTAAAGAGAATGTGCGAGTGATTCGCAAGTGAAAACAATCAAGTTATCAAATAGTCAGAAAAGTAGGATTTTAGAATGCAATAATTTGAATGAACAGTGATTTAATAATACTGTTGAGGCTGTGTTAATACTTCGTTAGATACGTTGGGAGAGCAATTAGCAGGAATTGCGAGGAACATCGTTAATTTCACATCAGACAAAAGTATTCTGACAAAAAGACACGAGAGATAATTGACAAAGATTGTTACTTTTTAGAAAGAATCAACGAGTTGAAATTATTGAGAGTAGGAGGCCTTAAACCATTACATGTGGAGTTTTGTTGCGAGTTGACACATGGTGACCAGCCGGGCGGTATTTTGAAATGTCGGATACTCATTGCTGGAGCCGGGATATGGTGAGGGAGTTTCTTCCATACATACAGTGCCCTAGTCTATGAAAGCTGTAAAGTTCTGAGTATACTTATAAAAATTTTAAAAATGAGGGGTACGGGAAGTCATCACGATAATTCTTCTTTAATTCCTTCAACAGCGGCATGTCTTCATATTTTTGTCTAACTTTTTACCCAAATCAGTGCGTTTTTTCATTCTCCATTTCCTCTTGGTATAGTGTCGTGGCACTAATTCCAAGCGCTGCTATAATTTTCTTTTTATGATAATCGTCAACGGACATTTCTGATTAAGCTAATTGAAAAATAGTTATCTGATTCACTATACACTATATAAACGTCACAGGATAACACGCAACACGATCAGAACATACATAACTGCACCAACACAGTAGCAGCAGCGAGGAGCGTGGAACGCTAGTGAGGACCGTCGGATCTTGAAAATTCCGCGCGCCACACAAGAGCGCGCTCTAGAACTGCTGAGATCTTTACACGGACGATTTTACTCGAACCGTTCTAGAGAGGAACGCAGAAGCGTGGCAGAAATAAGAACCACACTCCTGCGCACCACGGTCCTGTCCGCGCGCACTAGCTCGTGGTCCGGAACGTCCCGGTCAGACGCGCGGCTAAGATACGCCGTGTAAACGACCCTATTGTCATGGTTACCTCTGTCCAGACGAAATGAAATGTTTCGTTTCGAATTTCTTCTTTTTTTACTGTATGTTAGACTGCAGACGGGTTGCCTGGCACACCCTGAATCGAACCTTCAATGCGTCCAACACGTTTTACTGAGCTTTCTGTACGTCGCCTCTGATGACAATGCGAGGTCGTGGGGTCTAAAACGGAAATAGCTGGATTCTCAGAATTTTGACAATGTTCACATTAGTCCACATGCTTTCGCACAAGAAGCTGATGCGATCTTTCGGTGACGCTCCGAACAGGAAGCAGTTGACAATGTACGTCAAGGAACTTTGTAAGAGAAGAAGTATTAAGTCAACTGGGAAGAAATTTGCGCAGCTTTTTTGGATTAAATTAGTCTCTTAAAAAATCTCCAAGGCGGGAAGTTTGAAATGTATGATCTTCTTCCTCTGAAATGCCTTAAACTAGCAGCAAAACTGCATTATTCGATACGTGGCGCCAAATTTGAAACAATTTGGCGGTCAATGCCAACAATACGTTGAACTACTTGAGTTTGTAACAATGAAAGACGAGAAACAGACAAAAAGTTACGGTCTACTATTTCGCTTGAAAAGTGAATTTTGATGGAATGACTACTCGTAAATGATGTGCATCTTACCTATGCGCGTGTAAACTTTATTTACATTTCAAGAAAACCCGCGCATTGCTGCTGCATGGTCGAGAACATCTTCAATGTGAAAGGTGTACAGAGTTTGAGAAACATTTTAAATTTTGTAGAAGAAGCAACTATCCAATAAACTTAAGAATCCTGAGAACAAGGATTAGATTTTTATACATATTAGATAATTTTGAAATTGACACAAAAGCAATTGGAAAAATATATCTCATGACTAATGTTGCTCTAGCCTTTCATGCATTGAAACCTGTTTCATGATTTTTGGAACTCTTCTTTTAAAAGGGAGAAACTCCTGAAATTTTTATAAAGGCCCTCATAAGAGATATTAAGTGTAATTCTAGGAAATATCACAATGATTCATTTCAAACAATTTTTTTTCTTATGTGGCATTAAAATGTTAGTTGAAGGTCAGCACCAGTTTCGAAAGCAATGCTACAGATGAAATTGCATAAAATGGATTACCATGTAATATGGCAATGCATTCAAAATGTACAGAATAAAATGGACTAGGAAGTACCACAATACAGTTGTAACTAATACCAATCATACTGGCAAGGCTGGCAAGAAGATATTTGTGTCTCTCCACAAAATGATTTATTGTTAGAAATTCTTAAAAGTAAATATACAATGTAATACAAGACTAATTTACCATTTTTCTGGTAAAACCAACCAGCAAACCTGGATGATGCGGCTTGTTTCCTGAGCCATAGCAGATGTCCCACTCACCAAACTCTGTCTTCTCTTTATCTGCCAGTGAATTCATGAATTGGTGGGCAAGCAGGAGCAAGAGCAATTGGGGGTATGCAATGCTTGACAATGAGATGAGTGACAAGATCTCAAATATGATTTTCCAAACTAATATTTATATTTCTAACTAATATACGATTTTCCAAACTAATATATATTTCAAGATTTAAGCTCTGTCTTTCAGTATGTTTGATACGCAGAACTGATATTTTTAACACATCCCTCTTCCAAAGTTGTTCAGTGAAATACTGTTTGGAAGTTGAGTAAAGATAAAAAGCTTTCCCAAATTATATGACTCTCACACATGTAAAAATAAGCAGAAAATGTCACCGTATAATCAGCAAACTGCATCAATAAGCAATTTGTTTAGACTTGGTGTAAGAAATGAAAAGAAGGAAGGCATTCTTTCAGAATAAGTGGTGTCCAGTTTAGCTGATTCCAGTTAAGACAGAGATCACAGCGTATAAAAAGGAACTTTCATATAGTATTTGGTATGAAAAGTTAAGAAGAGTTGAGTAGAAAAAACGCTAACATGAATGATAAACATTAAATCATATTTTAAACATCACAAAACTTTGATGTTACTGTAGGAGGAGAGCAACAATGAATATTTTGAAACACGTCTTGAGGCTCTTATCATGAAGATTTTTGTTTCAAATTTCAGAAAGTTTGATTTAGTACGAATAACTAACAATTTAAATTTATTTGTAAGTAGGCAATGATTTAACTGAATAACATGTTGTACAGGCAACAACTTTTAAGAGTATCATATTAAGTTAAGAAGATTATGCAACTTTATTCTAAATTAGGTAGGTACGCCTACAGTAATAAATGTGTAGTATCTACAATTTTAATGCATGGCAACTAATGCATGAAATATCTACTGTAAATACCATGTAAATTGTTTGGGACAAAAGATAAGACTTATTAATAACTTGACTCTTATTCTGAATTAAAAATTGTTGTAAAACTATTGATAGTCAACAAGGGGCAGAGCTGTCACAATAGTGTAATAATAACAATAAAAATATGTATTAATAATACAATAAAGATAGAATAATAATAATAATAATAATAATAATAATAATAATAATAATCAATAAATATGTAGCCTCTACAATGGCTCATGGGTAACATTTTAGTTTCCCATGGTATTGTCACTAAGTGGCGGATCCGGGGAGGGGAGATCATGGGGGCCAAGCTCCCTACCCGCCACCAAAGGCCCAGAGTTTTTGTTTATTATCGCATTTGGCATAATTGATTTAAGTATCTGTTAGAATTATGTAATTATTCAAAAAATAATATTTTATATCATATATACACTACAAAAATAATATACAATATTATGTTTATTATTTATTAAAAATCTATGATGACTCCCTCCAAAATGATCGGCAGGATCTCCTACTGGTCCCAGATGCGATTTCTTATCAAGGTAAAAATAGAGTTGTAGCTTTCCTTTAAAAATTTCTCAATTTCTGAAACTGTGGGACGAAGAAAAGCTCGGACACACAGTTTGCAAGTTACAGTGATGTGGATACATCATGATCGCCACGCATGTCTCTCTTACCCTTCAATAATGGAGGCCCAGGCATGGGGGCATCGTTAGCTGGCCGGCAAAAACAATTGATCCAAAATGCAAAATCCATAAATTAAATAAATGTTTTAACAAGCCCTAATGCTTAAGTTGGTAAGCAAGTTATATTTGCATGAAATACAATTTCATACACATCCAGAAACTTAACACAGACGGAATTTTGAATGAAAGGAATATTATTTTCATAACATGAAATAAAGTGGCCTGCATTTACTGATTCATTAAAACAAGACAGATGAACATTTTCCAACTAAAATCAATACTACTATTCTTTACTCTGCATTACCTTTATCATAGTTTCCAGCAATCCAGTCAGTCTCTGATGAGTGTTGCTGGGAGGAGCTGCTCCCTTCTCATTTTCAACAGTATCTGCTTTCTTCTGAGGTTCCTTTTCATCTTCTTCATCTGATGATGAACTGTCAGATGAACTACTATCTGAAGAAGATGACGATGACGATGATGATGATGATGATGATGATGAAGATGAAGACGACGAGGACGATGTAGATGAAGATGAAGAATCATCTTTCTGTGTAGCTAAATATCTACAATTTTGTTTCCACCCATTCTTTCCATTTTCATGAATACTTTGGAGAAAAAGTAATCTTACATGTTCTAATCTGAAAAAGCAACCATGAGGATCTGGTTAAAAATGGCACAAATTGACATGACCACGAAACGAAGGATTAGAAAGAAAACTTTTTAACAATCAAACCTTTTAACGCGAGGGATGTAGCTCAGCATCGAAGGCGAAACAAGATTCACATTTCGTAGCCAGAGAAAAAGCATTGTATACCTGTCGAGCTGGCCAAATTCTCAAGATAATTGAAGGAATAAAATATTTTCTACTACATGTAATTCAATACGATATCTGAAACGATCAATGTACGATCCTAACCCCAAACAAAACGAGTAGAGTGGCACAGCAAGAGCGCCGGCTTCGATCAATGCGTTGCTTTCCTCAGCTTTCCTGTTAAACTAGCGGTGGCACCAGCACACTCTATCAGAAGCGCAGAGAATTAACGTGGAAGTAGTCCAGTTTTCTGCTATTGATCGCCTGAAACATGCTTGGCATATTGCCTATAGTATCCAGCCGATCATAGAAATTAGTTAAATAAAAAAACATTTGTTATTCAATTGTATATTATTTATGTAGTGTGTATGTGATAAGTCAATGTTATTATATTAATTCTAATATAAATACATATTTTTTAAAAATTTTGCCAACTTTTGCTCAGTAAACTCTAGAAATAAAACAGTGATATTTAAGATGTTCAGGAAAGATGTATGACCAGGACTTGATTTATCAATTTATTAACCGCGACGTAACAATAATTATTAATAATAAAAACCGTCCCAGAGAAATTGGAAAGATTTCTTGAAAAACACCACAGGAAACAAACGAAACCTCTAGGCATTTCTTGGGATGCCCCCCATGCCTCCTTCCCCCGACCTAATGTGTTTTAGATTGCCCAAAACTGCTGCAAAATAAGTGTTCATTGCCAAACTTCCCTGTCAAATATGATGAAATGAATACTGACCTACTTATTTGTGCACGCTACAATGTAACACATTTTTGTTACAACTTATGACTTTTGATTCGGGATTTTCTCGAAAGTAGTTGTGTTGGATTTATTTTTAATGTTATTTAAGTGTAAATAATCATTTTGAATTCTTGCCTGGGAACAATTTCATTATAAATCTCTTAATATTAGTATCATTTACCTATTATCGGAGTTGCATACAAGTACGCTGAGAAAAAACAAGGGGCGGTATTCAGACATGGCACTCCTGCTTCACTAAGCAGACATGGCACTCCTGCAAAAGCATTGCACTGCATTGTAGGGGCACTACGAGCTCTCAGAGAGGTGCACATGTCCAATTCAATAGGATAAAATATCAAGTAATGAGTTTAATATCACAAGCAGTTAGATATTTTACACGTCTCTGAACAGGTGGAGCGGTATCGAGAAGCATTGAACCAGCAAAAATGTAATGGAATGACTAAGGTGTATTAGATTGTTACTACTGTAGATGAAGGTAAGATGAACGCGTCTTTGAGGCCTCAAATTTCCAGATTTTAAGGTTCTTGAACGCTCTGCTAAAGAGTTGTATAACTATATAGATTTTCACAATCCTACCCGAGCGTTGCGGGTTGTATTTTACGTGAATATTTACATGCATTTTTTAAACAAATCTTTCATATTTTTAAAGTTAAAAAGCAACATAAGGAGAAATAATAGATATAAATATATTAGAATTAGTAATGGTATTTTACGAGAAATCTTTCCAAGTATCTGGGTCGGTTTCTCTGGGACGCCCATATCCCTCCAAAATTAAGTACACAGCACTTGAAGACTTCGACAAATTATTAAATAAATGTTTTCACAACACGCGTAAGAAACAACCTTCAGGTATCTAGCAACTACAGTACTTCTAGTTGTTGCTGCGAGAGCGAATCTTGAATTAATAATTATGCAAATAAACCTCGTTAGTCTGCGCAAACCACGGTGTACGCAGATAGTATAAATAATATAAGATAGAGGAATCTAAGCCTTCTAAGCGTGACGGAATGGAATAGTCCTCGTCGCTCCGCCAAGAGGTTCGTATACGAAGGTTGCCTTTGGCAAAAAATACAATCGCGGTGCTTCGAAACAGGTCTATGACATCGTGATAGGTCATGAATCGTTCGTGAATCGTGGATTTACGCGTATGAGCCCGAAAGTAAACAGCAGTCGACCTTGTATGGTGTTTCAAGATGAGCAAAATCCAACAAAAGTTGTTCCGCACAAGCACTTCCAAACAGATGGTCGCCTGTTTTACGGAAAAACTGACATGTTCGCAACCGAACACTAGAACAAACGCATACAGTCAATTCGTGAATGGTACACAACATTTTGTTTTGCCAGCTGTCTTCCAAGAAATCAGGAAAAACAACCGCCGAAAACGGATCACTTTTCACCACGACAGTGCGAGCTCTCACACATCGGTTCAAACAACTGCATTTTGAGCACTCAAAACATAGATTTGATGGTCATCCTCCGATATCTGATTGGCACCGAATGACTTATTTTTATTCCCGTACGTAAAAAAACAAACTGAAGTCAACGTTTTTCGACACCCGAAGAAGCGGTTGCTGCATTCAATTGCATTTTTTGGAGATACCTCATTCAGGGTGGCGAAAGTCCTTCAACAATTGGTTGAAACGCATGCAAAAGTGTATAGATCTTCATGGGGAATATTTTGAAAAACAATAAAGTGATATTCGATGATTAATATTTGTTTTTGTTCTCTAATCCTGAAACATAAAAGGCTACCCTCCTACGAACAGGAAAGTGCAGCATCTAAGATTTCTCAGAAAGATATTGAAAAACTATTCAAAGTTCAAGGCCAATAATGTCAATAGTAATTAAGTTAAATGAATCAAGTTACCAAAATTAATTTTAATAAAAATTACGATGGCCATTTTAGGCAGGAAAATTAGTAAAATAAGGGTAAATTTGTTAATGTTGAATTAGAAAAGAAAGAAAATTCAGAAATAAAATAATTCTTGGCACTTCTTGACAGCTATGTCGATTCATTAATGAAATTGTCATTTAAAGAATATTAACCATCAGATCAATTAATTCCTATTCTAAATAAACACCTGCCGTAGTTTCGTATGAGCGGACAATTTTCTGCCCACAAGAATGAAGTAGATGCAGCCCTGAGAGTGTAAGTATAGTAACGCACAATCATTACAATAAATACGAGCAAGGCAAATAATTTAAATTAGGATTTAAAAAAAGGAGAGAGAGGGAGAGAGAGAGCAAAAGGCATCGCCACAATTCAAAATTTCAAAATTCACTGATTCAAAAATTTTAGTCAGGTAAAACTTACAAATATCTGGGCATTGAAGAACATGATAACATCTCGAATGACACAATGTAAGAAAGAATTTGCAGGGAGTATTACAAAAGAATAACACTTGTCCTGTAGTCCGCCCTGAGGAATAAACAATTCGCAATAGGTAGTGCCTGTAGTCGATTACGGTTTCGGACTAGTGGACTGGACTAAGCAAGAAATGCGGATCATGGATCGAAAGTGGTGGTGCAAAGGAATGGCACAAACTTTCACGTACTAGTTATTTTCCTAATCCGTTTCGTCTGGGTTTTCTGTTGTGTTCCATCTCTCTTCCCGGCTGCTACCTATATGCGATAAAAAACATTTCTCGCAATGTATTAATTTTTAGGTCCCCTAGTTGCAGAATGCCCTGGCGATTTAGCTCATTGGTTAGCGTGCAAAGGTCTTGCTCTTGCAAACAGTCGCAAAATCTGTAAAACTCTTTTAAAAGAAGAAAACTCATATCAGCCATCAACACTTAGGTAGTTCCTGTGACTGTATACTCATTTGGTGTTCTTCTCTGGACAACTGTAGCTTAATCGAAAACATAGGACCACTCTTGTTAAGTACTGCACGCCCCAACCCAACAGTAAATTGGCAAGACTGTACACGAAAAAAAGAACCGTTGGAGTACACCAGAGCCCACTTTATTCACTTTCAGTGGGATCTGATTAAGCTCCTACAGTAGAGATCTGGATTTTGAGACAGTGCGCGCGAAACAAAACAATTTTTACCACGAACAACAATTTTACCCCACTGAAAGTGAATCAAGTGGGCTTTGAGAGACGAAATATCAAAGAAGAAGCTGATTGGACCCAAAAACGTTTGCACAGGCAGATTTCCTGTAGAACTCAAAGCGAACGCTGTGAACATGGATCGTCAGATTCCTGGATAACAAATCGGACTCTTTTCTGAGACAAGGCCTCGTCATTTCCATTCAGGACGAAGTAACCTCCACTCGCAAGTACCAAAGATGTGTGATTGGGGATGTGAGTGTAGAGGATCCCTGCCGCCGCTTCCAATCAACCCGGCGAAATCCTCCATTCCATAATTGGAGGGTACTCTGCTTTGGCAGAAACAGAATACCTGTGTCGAACTACGACTGAAGCAGAAGTCCATCAGGCCCGACTTCAAAGACAGAGAGGTGCAGAAAGAGGTCTCATACTACAAATTCAAGTCGGATTAAGTTTTGGAGTAGATACGGTGGAAGCTCTTGTGGAATATTGCAGTCACCACAGATTACAGGACCGAGGCCAACAGACCAGACATAATATGCGTCGACACGTTTTCGCGGAAAGAGATTATTGTCGACATAGCTATCCCTTTAGACCGAACTTTAGCTGCCTCCATTTCCGAGACGAAGCTGTTATATGAGGCCTTGGCTACTGAACTGAACATGTGGCGATTAGTATTCGTTGATGTAGTTCTAGTGACCATCTCTGCAGAACTTACTTCATCGTCTACAAGGCTTGGCCTTAAAAATGGCTCATTCAGACAAGGCAAAAGTCTGTTTTCCTGAGAACTGCTCGCATCGTGTTGGAATTTTTAATGATATAGCTTCATCTCGACTTCTGACCGCCCAAGTTTGCAAGAGAAGTAGATTTCTTGGTTCCCAAAAGGTCCCGGGGGCTGCTGTAGAACACCTCACTTGGCAATAGACGTGAAAACATCATAATAATAATTATTATTATTATTATTGTAGTGCCTCCAGTCGGATAATGGACTGGAGAACAAGAACCGAGAGTTCGACGAACTACTGAAGAGGCACGGCATCTCACGAAAGTTAACGACGCCGTACAATCCGGAGCAGAGCGGTGTAGCCGAAAGGAAGAATAGGACGCTGATGGACACGCCAAGGTGTTTGTTGATCCAATCAGGGCTGCCCTCCTCTCTCTGAGCTGAGGCGGTGAACGCGGCAAATTTCATCCGCAACCGATGTCCCTCGCGTAAACTAAACTGGAAGACACCCTATGAAGTCTGGTTCGGAAAAGCACCAGATGTATCCCACTTCAAGCAATTTGGCTGTGAAGTCTTCCCTGGACAGGTCACCCGGTAGAGGTAAGCTCGAGCTGCGCTACAGAAAGGGCTTCTTTGTGGGCTACGGTGCGGAGACTAAGGTCTTCAGAATCTGGATACCAAGTGAGGGGAAGGTCGAGGTGTGCTGAAATGGTCCCAGGGCTGCTGGGAAGGGATGAGGTGGAGGCAGATGCAAGTCCTTTCATAGAGTTGAACCTCGGCCGTGATCCTCCTGCATCACCGGTTCGGAACAGCAGAGATAGGGAAGAGTAGAGGAAGAATCAGACGGCGAGGATTTTCGAGGTTTCGCGCCAGAGGAGCCTGAGACCGTGGTCAGGCGGCTTCCCCGAAGACCTCGGAAGATCTACACTGGACAGCCAGGAGGACCTCGCTTGGCCCGTCCGGAGGGCAGGCGTGAAGGCCAGCGTGTAGAGGAGCACGCTAAGGTTGCGAACTTAATGGAAGTTTTGGTCAAGCAAGCTCTTTCTAGTGAGGACTCTCAGGAATTTTGTAGAGGCTATGGCAAGCGTGGTAAAGTCCACACTAGAGAAGAAAACCTGGGAGATGGTGCCACGACCGGAAAATAGGGGCATGATAGGAAGCAGATTCGTTCTGAGGAACAAGCATGGAAGAAATGGAGTGTCAGAGACTGGCAACAAATCCGGTCATTCATTCTCTAACAAAACACATAGATGTTTGCCATCACTTTGTTCGGGAAGTCGTGGAGTCAGGGCTACTCAAGTTGGAGCATCTGGCATCGGCGGACATCTTCACCAAGGCCTGGACCAGGTCGAATCATGAGAAGTACTTGTAGCTTCTTGGACTGGTGAATGTCATGTGAAGTGTGGGGGATTGTCTGGAGGGGAAGTGTTGGAGTTATCGACAGTGCGATACAATCCCATCAGGAGAGTGCCTACCGATATGCTGATCAATCGACTAACGGTTCTGTGTACTCTTTGACTAGAGCAGTACTGTGTCTGTGACCGTCGAGGGGAACGTGTGTGGCTTGGTGTGTGCTACCAGTGTGTTGTGCGTCACGAGTTGTAATCCGTCAGTAATCAAGGAATGATGTGTGTCGAACGACTAGGGTGCGAGCTGTCCATAATTCCAACAGTTCTAGCTTGGGGTTTCTCAAATGCATAAATTTAAACCTCTTTGTGGCCCATGGCAGTTACCTTTCACTACTAGACTAGAGCTGACCTGAGCAGGTACTCTGATCTCGCCCAAGCACCTAGTTTTCCCTCCAAAAGGGCTGCCACCCCATGCAGCAGGTCACACTGAATACTCACAGACAACTGCTGGGCTAGGGCATGTCCAGGCATGCTCCGCTGCAGCCACTACTATACAAGCATAAGTGTCCATTCTGGGGGAGGCAGAGGGGTCAAAAATACGAGTATGTTCACACACACGCACACAATTCATGATATTCATCTTTTTTAATCTGCCAATTTGGGAAAATGTTATGCATTTGGGGAAGAGGCTCCCCAAGACATCTGGCAACTCTGAAAAATTCGTGGAGTAAATGGTTCAACATGAAATAAATTGTACATATTATTGTGACATTCTAGTTACAACTTTGATCTCCTTGTAGTTTGTTTTATTTATTTACTATGCCATATATATAGATTAAATATGTCACATGCAAATAAAAATGTTTAACGAAAAACAGGGCACAGAAATGTAGTTGATCCCTTTCCTTTTTTTAAGATGTGCATACCAATGTGTACAAGAATGTACTCTCTATCTCTATGTACACTTGTGCATTTGTATACATAATAATATTGGAGAAAAATTAGAAATCACATTTCAGTATACAGTTGTATGGAAATGCAATTCTCAGGATATAACTACAAAATAAGTGATTTAAGTTTTAAGATTCCAATTTAATGGATCCTAAGAATGAAATGGACTTTTCCTGTGAATATGATCGTTTGTATTTTGAAATTACAAAATTTCCAAAGTATTACAACGCATATTTTACAAATGAAGATAATTTATGAATAGTAAGATATCACAAATTTGCATATAATCATTTATACATTCTATTTCATATTTGTCAGTCACAAATGTGAAGGGTTATCAGGAAATGTAAAACTTCTCTTTCTCTTAAAATGAATTTTACAATATAAAAGATATCACCACGATATATATCCTTCTTCCATTTACTTTATATCCTACAATTATTGATGAATACTACAGCTTTAAAATAAAATAGGTTAATCATATTTCAAGATACACATTTATTTTATTATAAGAAAAAGAAATCAACTTCAACTATACAACTACACAAGAAAATTTTAAATTAAGGCACTGCTTTTCTACTTATTACTTTAGATTACTTTACAATGAAAAAAGGGTTGCATTTTACCAAAATATATAAAGGATTCACCACTCTGAACTACTTACTTACAAAAGATCACATACAGGTACTTGAGTCCCTATGTTATGGTGGCAAGTAAACTAAAAGCTCAGTATTTACAAGGTGCCTGTAAAGCTATTTCATCTCTTTTCTTATTAATAGAGTTTATTTACATATATAGGGTACTCATAAATGAGCACAATAAAAAATTGAATCTTCAGATTTCTGAAATAAAAAAACAAACAACTATTACTAGCTTTCAGGACATTTACATTGAGTGCAGTCTTCCATGTTTTGGTCAAATTCTTCTATTTGAAGAGTCATTTCAAAAAAATTGAATCTATCATGAATATTTCGAGACGCTAGAGTAAGTACTTCCTGTGGACTGACACCAGGGCCTGCAAACAAAAAAAAACAAAAACAAACCATTGTGGTACTGAATAGCTTCAGTTTTAAAGGCAGAAAACTGAAATTTACATGGTTATCCTACATCTTACTCAAAGATAAATATGTCCAAAAAATGAGAGGGAACTTTTTAAATCTGTTTCTTGGGAGTAAAGAAAATAAGGACATGATTTATTAAAATAAAACATGAATGGGATGGATTACTCTACATAACTGATCATGCTTTCAAACAATGCTAAATCCCCATAGAAAATTTCCAACTTCCTTTTCTTTCAAGGCAAAACAAGTCCTGGTAGCTAATGGAGAAATATATGGAAGTTGCCCATGAATTGATTTACCACCCCTTCCCTTATTTGCGTCTCATTTAGTGTGTTCAGAATATTATTTACGCTACATCAAAACTAAAATGACATTGAAATGTAAAAATAATTTTCAATCAATTTCACTTATTGTAACAGAAATAAGTACTGAGGAAGAATGATTTGCAGAGTATGAAAACTAATGTTTTTAGTAGGTTTAATGCCCAAAGAACTTGTGTAAAGAGAGAGAAAATCTATTTTCAACTTTGAACACTAATGAAAATATTTGTACTTAAAATAGTACATTTTTTTAAAATACTTTTGTTATTTGTATCTTGTATTCAAAATATGTACTTTTTGGAACATATATTTGGTTTTTATATCAAAACATTTTCTGAAAGTATTTTATATTTTCAAAATATAAAATTCTTTTCACTTTGAACTTCTTTAACCTTCAATTTGTTAAAAGTAATACGAATATGAGGTTTGAAAAGTATTTTATTCAAAGTCCAGAAGTAAAAGAGGCAATAATAGCCAGATTTAACCACCCAGTTTTAAATGGAGGTGGCCAACATAAAAAATTAAGGATATTCAGAAGAAACTTTTTCAAAAACCTGAAAACATTTTAAAGGAAATAAGTGTTCACACTTCAAGAAGACTGAAGTTGAGTCTATCATAAATTACTGCAAGTATTTAATAATTTTGTTTGAAGGTTCAAAAAATGATGAAACTTGTATAATTACAGAAGGGAGCAAATCAAACCTGGAAATACAGCAGTTTTTTCCACAACAGATCAAAAAACTCAAGGGTTTCAAGTATGTTGATTCACAAACGAATCTCATGTACATACAAAGATTACATCATGTGTGAAAGACTTTTTGTATTTGTTGAACTAAAAATAGTCCTTAGAGATGCAATGTTTGGATAGCTTATAGTGTTGAAGAGAAACATCCAATTGTATTCAGTTTCATAGGGTTCTAAATAAGAAGTATAAAGTAACCAAATGAATGAATTTGCTGGAAATACACCCATGTCATCTCTTGGAATTTATTGATATTAATATGGCTGTTGGTGACTTATGAAACACTTTTAAAAGTATTAGGCTCAATACAAAGATCCATTTAAAATTATAAGTTGAGGAAATATGATTTTTGGCCCCATGAACTATATACATCTATTACAAATTAAGCAAATTTTGCAAAATAAATTAAAAAATCCTTGAATGCCTATTGGTAGTATTTTATATTTAAATTTTTTCTTTCAAGCACTTTGCCCAACTAATTATGAATAATGAATAAAATTTTGTTTAGAAACATTGCAATTCTATCTAATATACTCTTATGTGAAGTTTCTGGGTTGCAGATAATCCATAACTTACGAATAGCCAGGTGAGCAGCTAAGGCTGTTTTGTCAAGACTCAAAGCCCATATTCTTAAATTATGAACTTTTATAACTCCATCAATTTGTAGGAATGTATTCATGACAGCCGCAAAATCTATACCTTTAGGAATGCCTGCAATCACAAATCATAAATTGAATTAAAATAAATTGTTCCCTTATGTCTACTTTCTACTCCCACATATCATAGATAATTTTTAGTTAATTAATTAAATTAAATTAATTGTTGAAATCCAGAGTTCTATTATTTTGAATCTCCTTGAAATAGGAATATACACACCTTCCATAAGAACAACAAGGGTGTCTTTGATGATGGCAAAAGTTGTAAAGATCACCAGGATTGAGAATAAGAAGGTGCAAATTGGATCAACAATTATCCATGTAGGCTGAAACAAATTTTTGTGAAAACATATATTTCATTATCAAGATAAGCAAAATGGGATAGAAAAATGAGTTTAATCACAATAATCGATAACATACCTGAAAATATATTATCAAGGCAGCAACAAATACTCCAAAACTCTGAATGAAATCACCCACAACATGAATAAATGCTGCTCGAACATTTATATTTTGAGAATCACTATGATGGTGTGCTGATTCAACAGCAGACTCTGAATGACTAGACGAATTTTCTCCATGGCTATGGCTATGGCCATGCCCATGCTGATGTAATGTAAGACCCATGCTACCAAAAAAAACAGATGCATCAATAGTAGGACTTGTAAAAGCTTTAAAAGTGAGCTACATTAATAAAAGCTGACAGTGAAGAAACAAAAAAAATAATCACTTACTCAAAGCTCTGTTTACATTTGGTATGACTATGTATAAGAAATCCATACAGAAATTAAATAAATTTTGCAATGAAAAATTACTTATTCTTAGGTTAAAAAACAAACAAGTACACAACTTACACAAGGTTAACTAAAACACCAAGAGCTGAAGTAATAAGCATTATTCGAGCATCTATATCAAAATCTTTTTCCACGATTCTTTCAATAGCAAGATAGACCAATACACCTGTCACAACCCATATCATGAGGACAGATGTAAGGGCTCCAATAACTTCTGCTCTGTACCAACCAAAGCTCATACGTCGGGTAGGTGTGCTACCCAAAGTGAGAAAGATGAGAAATCATGAAACTGGCAAAACCTGTTGTGTGATCAAGTTGCTGCGATCAGTTGCTACAACAATAATAATAATAATAATAATAATAATAATAATAATAATAATAATAATAATAAAATATATATTCTTAAAGAAATAATATCTAGAGATTTTTCATTTAGTTCACCTCAGTTGAAACTAATTAGAATGACCAAAATGAAACACCTAAGTCAAATTTAATTGCATAGTGGAGTGATGTGCAGATCATTTATTTCAAAATTTTAAATAATAAAAGTAAATATTTAATTAGAAAAAGGTACATTTAAACTAAGAAACATTAAACGAATTATACTTTATACGAGTATATAGTTTGAATGGCATGTTCAGCCAGGCATAGCAGGGAACAGCCAAAGAGCCGAGATTCTCCGAAAGGAGAGAGGAGTAAGTTCCACGGTTCTCTTACAATACACAATGGTGGAAAAAGTGATATCCGCTGCCGCCGCCGCCTGGATTGCCAAGCGGCGTTGGTGAGTCTCCGACAGCGGGTGGCGAGCTCTCAACTCGATGCGCTAATACTGATGATTCCTTTGGGACCTCCTCGCTGTTTTCACTTTTTTTTTCGGTTGTTTCAAAACTAATATTGTTTCAATATGATTATATAGAGTACATATCAAGTTCTTGTCTAAAACGTTTATAATGCAACATCTTTATCACTTTGCTTCGTCAACGCTGCATCTACGGACGCCTCGCGACTGCATATTATCATGGTACGATAATTGCAATAATTACAAACAGTAAAAAATATAACATCTATAATAATAATAATAATAATAATAATAATAATAATAATAATAATTTGTAATTTATTACCTATTATTTCTCCAACCATGAATAAAACACACAATACGCTGGCAAGTATTAGTTTTCTTCGAGCACGCTGGTCAACCTTTTCGTCTCTGATCCTGTGGCAATGTTCTCCACTGACTGTGAAACAAAAATGGAGATTTAGGCTCATTACCAACAATCCGTAATTAATATTCAAATATTTCCATTCACTGATCATCATTTTATATCATTCTGCACAATAAAAATTGAACTGCTCGAAAAATAGAATTGCTACCTTTGGAAGAGTAGAATTAGGGACATTTCTTAAAAATAAGATACACTAGTGAAAACCTGCGCGATAAAATCTCACGTGGAGTTTAAAACCCAATTCAGTTCTACCTGCCCTGGTATTTATTTTATTCATCTATTCAGACGGCGAAATGAATTATGTCTTTAGTGTATCTCTGCCATGCTCTGACCTGCCTAACGGAGATCTGCCCAAATCCACCCACTCCTTTCCACCCTCTTCGCCCTTCGTCTTCTACCTGTGCTACCTCACTTGACGCGCTCCTGCCCGCCTTGCCCTACCATGTTCGCTACGATCATCGTTGCTGTGATTTCGAAAATTACATACCTACAGGGCCGGTACTACCTTTAGGCAAACCAGGGCACAAACCTCGGGGGGAGGGGGGGATTTTGGTAAGGAAGATATTTGCTACGAACTTTTGACAGTAGCTCGAATACTTCCAAAATCTTTACTCCCACAAGAATTGCTCAAATTTATCATGCAGCAAACTGCAGGATATTGTTTTTTCAATATTTTCATTGCTCTGTGGATTTTTCTAACACTACCAGTATATATGGCAATTTGGAAACGTAGTTTTTCGAAACAAAAACGAATAAAAACATTTTTACGCTCTACAATGTTGAAACAAAGACTCATTAGTCTAGCAATTATTTATATCGAATATGCTGAAGCATTCATTCTAAATACAACTGAATTAGTCAAACAATTCGCGAAACAGTTAAATTTTAACGTGCTTAATCAAATGTTTTGTAATATCGTTTGTCTTATAATCGTTACAATTGTCTTACACATTTACTTTCTCGCTACGGAGTAAAAAGAAAGTTATGTAATGCTTCGCGAAAAAACGGCGAATTTTCGACAGAAAAACTCATATTGCCGGGCCCTGGTAACGAAAAAGTGGATAAATATAGTTGTTAAATTTAGAAAAAAAAAAAACCTCTACATGATGTAGTCAGAGTCTTTTTTGTGGGTCCTAGATAGCGAAAAATCGATTGACGGGAAACATGTCTGTCCGTCCGTGAACAACGCTAGCGTTCAACAATCGTTGCGCCGATTTTTTCCAAAATGGATATTAAACAATCGATCTGGTTAGTCCCTCGGCCCCTTAAATTTGAAACAGACATTTTAATTTTGGGGGGTACTTTACACGAAGCAAATGGGACATTTTTCAAATTTTCAAACAAATGGCTCAAACGTTTTCGATTACATTTTGTTATTGGATAGTGTAAAGGACGTTTAAAAGAATGGTGTAAATCTCATGTTTGTTAAAAACCCTGATTTTTCGAAAATTGCAAAAGTTCAACATTTGTTTCGGCGTCTTTGCACAACTACAAATATGAACATTGAGATTTTTTCTGAATGAAATCTGTTCCTAAACAATAGATTTTGAAATAAAGTCGTACACTTTTTCGAAAATTAGAGGACTTTTTGCGTAATTTGGCATTAAAGTATTTTTCACCAAAAACCCACACTAACACCACTAGTATACTTGTTCGCTACAGCTTACGCAGTAGAGAGAAGGTTATGTAAGGTTGCAGGAAACTAGTGGTGCCGAAACAGCAAGTACTTTCCCGCCTTTAGTAATAGTTATATAATACTATTTATACCACAATTTCACTCCATATTAACACATCTCAGTCATCATTGTTTGTAAAACTCATTACAAATAGGTATTAATTAGTACAAAAATTAAATATTTTCAAGCAAATGTAAATACAAACTTGACAATTATAAATGCTTTTCAGTACAGCTACATGACCCAACAATGAGACGTAATTCACAGAAATCCAGCTGCCGAATCGCGGCGCGGAATGCTATTGGTGCATTTCAATATAGTATTCCATAAAGACTAGCAATTTTTATTTCATATATTTCAAATAGGTTTTAAATAGTTTATAAAATATTAATTTGTAAACGTATAACGAAAGCTCGAATGTAAGACACGAACAAAGAACTATTAAATAATATACAAATTCTAACTTACTTAGCATCCAACTAACAAAATAAAAGTCTTAGATTCTACACTAGATAATGTGGTTGAAAGTACTGAGATTATGAAATCATAAAAGAAAATGAAAAATGAGAAAATTATTAGTTATTATTCTGTCATGCAGGAAATTATTGATGGTGAAGACGGAAAATTGGGGCGATAATCGAGAAAAATCGAGGGCCTCGGATCAACTGTTTGCGGATTACAGCAAACTATTAAGCATTAGAATAATAGAATTGAGATTGTTGAAAATAAAATGGGGGAATCCGAAATAACATTCGCGAGGAAATTACCCAACAGGAACAAGGAGTGTAGGAAGACCACGCAGAAGATGGTTTGATATGTGAAGATGGAACAAGCAGCCGCCTAATCCTTGAAGTGCAGAAGAAGAGGAAATTATAGGAAATAAAATTTAAAAAATCGGGTATTTTTAATAACGAGACTGCCGCATTGAAGCAACAAATTTCCGATTTACAACAGGAAATACATTTTGTGAGAACCACCGGTCAATGTTCATTCTCAGGCCGAGGTAAATAAGCCCAATAACATTCGGTATCACGGGGTGTCAAAGAACAATCGTGACCATTTTTGAAGAAATTGGAAACATTTTTCGTAATAAATAATATCCCCGAGGGTTTGAAAATGATTCTGGTAGAGCAGGCAATGGCGGTGAAAGCGCAAGACTGAATGATTGAATGCGAGCGTTAGATCCAGAGTCCCCTAATTATAATATCTGGGAAATTAAATTTCAAGAACGATACTGGAATGACCACCAGAAGTTTGAATTGATGTATCGAGTAATGTCGCAGCGATACTTTAAAGATGCGTAGAGGGGATATCAGATCGTCCGGCACCGTGCATCGCAATTTTCAAAGCGTGCGATGAGAATTACAACCAACACGAATTAATTCGGGTTATAATTCGACGATGGCCGTGCATTTCCAAAATCTACTCTTGAATGCAATGCCCACTACAATCGATGAGCAGTTAGAGTGCCTGAATCGGTTCGACCAAACCAGGGGCATTATGGGGAAGAGGCCGCGCGAAATTCGAAAACAGATAAGGGTAACGAGTGAAATGACTGAAATTCGTTTCAATGCGTGGACGGAAGAAATAAAACAGTGCGGGGAGAGAAAATATGAACCAACAGGAAAAAACCAGAAACAAGATAAACCGGGAGGAAGTCCGTATTTTAAAAGGAATAAAGAACAAAAGGAGTCGCAACAAATTTATGTCATAGTGGAAAACTAAGTTCGTTTGGGATGGAAAAATGAGATACGCCAAACAAAAGATTGGAAGGGGTATAGGTATCCGCAATAAACAATAATTGGCGTCAATAAACGGTTTTGTTTGAGAGAAGATACAGCAAGAAAGAACCAGTGTCAGCATTATGATATATTTATTTTGATTTGGGAGTGAATATGGAGAGTAGGGATGAAGTGTTTTCTGAAGAGATTTAAGCAGAAGTAAGAAGGAAGTATGATATTAAAGGAGTACCGACGCGGGAGTTACACATCTAAGTAGAAAATAAGGGATTGGCGGAAGGGCAGAAGCTTGCAGGTGTGACTGGAGCTCATGGTGGGAGGAGCGGCGATTCGTGCAACGGCTAGAGGCGTGGATAGATTCTCCCGAACCGATTTCATCGAAGGTGGGCTGTTGGTAGACGCGTAAACGGGCGCGAATGTGACTACGCTGTTACACATACACCCGTCGTTAAGTATCGTTGTCGTTGCATCTCGTGAAAGGTCGGAGATATACGAGGGTGATGCTGGTGGCGACGCCAACTTTGAAGATCCACCCTCTGCAATCGTCGAAGAAACCACGGTGATCAATTTTCCCCAGACGTCGGAAGATAATGAGACAAAGATAGATCGAAGAAGTAAGTGAATCGATAGAAGATTTTGTGCCATTTCTGATGAAAAGTACTGAAGAGAAGCCGCGAACGCAAAACGTATTCCATGCCGTCACTAATATAGGAACTACAAGGTGTAAACAAATAGATGTAGTTTCAGAGGAAGATAAATATTAAAAAGAAGATGTAAGAATCGTATAGCAGAAGAAGAACAAAACTTACGAATCACTGACACCAATAAAATGAGTGTTGTGATGCATCAATACCTCGTCCACCAGTCAGTACGAGGAAATGTCAAGAAAATGATCAGGAAGACACGTTTACGAATCATTTGTTGGGAGAATTTGGAAAAACGCTGCCGAGAAGAGAAAAAAGAGCTCAAAAGAAATGAACACAATCGGTGATGCAATTTAGTAAGATCACCATTAATCCTCTCTCGAGTAGAAACTGTTTCACAAGTTCGTCCCAGAGTAGAAAGATTCAGTTATAATAATTGAAATGCATAGTTAAAACGGGGTGATACGAAATAATGATGAAAATTTGAAAGGTAGTATTTCAGAAAGATACGGCCTTAGAGAGACACGAAAGGTAGGCATTTTTAGTGTTTAATTAGAGAAATATGTAAATGTGTATTAGTTTTAAGAATGTGGATGTATTATTAATGTGTAAGAAGAAAGACTGTTTTAGGTTAAGCTTACTGGTAAGAAATGGACGCTTTTAACATTACTCCGTAATGGTAGGAAAAAAGTAGAAAAATATAACCAGAAACGCAGATTGTCGGAGAGAGTATTATAACTGTGTGGTAGCAATAAAAAATGTCTTTAGTGTAATCTACGTAAGGTAAAGGAAATGCGCGCGAGGTAGTGTTACTGAGAGAGGGCAATGGCCAACGAAGATCACGAGTTCGCGACGCACAGGTGAGAACGAACAGTGTTAACAGAAAATAGGGAAAGACATGGATAACCCGAGCATTTCGAATAGTGTATAAATAGAGAATGCCACTATATTGCTGACCGAAGTCAACGACATTGTGTCATCTGGTGTGAGGGAGTTGTGATGAGTCATTACAGGTTTAATTAAATATAAACAAAATTACTCGTTGTGGAAAGATCAAGCTTTGTTTAGATGTGAATAATTTCAAATAGTTTAAAATGGGTAAATGACCATGCATGGGAAAATAAATTATATGTATGTGTGTATTGTAAATAATAGTATGAATGGGATCGTTAAATTAGTAAAGGTTTTTTATGTGCGGTTATTGTCGTATTTATGTGTTACTATAGTAGTATTCTGTGTATGTTTTTCTATCCAAGCAGAAGAAAAAGTTAATTATAACGTTTTGTTTATATTTAATTGGCCCTGAGATGACTCATCACAATATCCTGCAGTAAGATCAGCACAGTTTGTGAACATTATATATAATATGCTACTGCTTCACAATTGCTATTTGTATATCTATAGTCTTATGTATGTATGTTGTTCTTATATTTTTGTTTTACCACCAGCCATGAGGATGGAATAAAAATATTCCGAAACGTCGGCAAATTGTGTTTTAATGTTTTAATTCACTCCGATCAAATTCCGTGATCTACATTTTCCAATCCTATCTGATAATAAGAAAAATTATGTGTGGGCTACACGTTTATATTATTATTATTATTATTATTATTATTATTATTATTATTATTATTATTAATGGTAATTTTCTTAACTTAAATGCAAATATACATCTAAGTTAAATATGTTTAATCAGTATATATTGTGACGAACCCAGTAACTTCTAATTTTTAATAATACACAAGTATTCACAGGGCGCATTCAAAATTAGGTAGATGCATGTTAGTTTATGCATATAGAGGAGTCAACGCATACATGTTGGCAGAGCGACAGGAGTAAATAAACAAGCACTGGAAGGACGAACGCTCACAGTATGAAGACAGACCGGAAATGGGAAGCAAAGCCTCTTGTAATGAAAGTGTAGGGGCATAAGAATGTGTAGAGGAACGGGATCGCTCTCCTGTAACGGCTGACCACCGAGCCGCCAATAACGAATTTGTTAGGTTGCGATTTTCATTAGATGGGACGCGTCATGGGTGATATTGCAATTTTTAGTTAAAACATAACGTCGGACGGGAGTGGGCTAGCATGAAATTATAATTATTATTTTCAGAGTTGTAGTAGTAAGAATTTGAATAATGTTGATGTCATCTACTTGTTAATTGAATTAGAAAGGACAGGTAGTTGCGAACGCTGTTAGAGTAGGGAAGAAGTCGGAGATTTTTCATTCTTTGAACAATTATTTGAATATTAAGAAGTGTCGCGGTAAGGCACCCATCCGAGGTGAAATAAGGAAAGTTTCTGGTTTTGTGCAATATTCAAATTACAATAGGTCATAATATTATTCTTACAATTTTGTTTTTCATTATTTATCTTAACTGATACACATAAAACAGAAAAACTATAAAACCTAATTTTACGAAAATAAATAAGAAACTATTAAATTACAATTAATATTGAGGTGTCGGGTGCAAATTTTAAGAAAAATATTGAAACTTTGGGAAACCGTGGTGACAAGGCTACAATTTGCATTTAGCCCTTTTTATAATCTGCGTCAGAATACGAGATATCATTAAAAAATGAAGGAAAAAAGTTTTTTTATTTACCCCTTGATTGTAAGGGTCAAAATCGGATATATTCGCCAGAAAAAATTCTCGAAACATCTTTATCATCTATAGAAGATCTCAAGGATAATTTAAGTCAATATTCATAGGCGAAATATGAATAAAAATGTATATAAGGTGAAAAAACGTTTTTTTAAATTTGTACTCGGGTAAATTGATTTAAATTCGGCAAAAATCTTATTTTTTTACATTTCAATTTCGATTTACAGCATAAAAAATATCCCAGGGGGGAGATTTGCCAATCTTATTCTGCTATCCCCTTTGTGTTAAAACTATTAAGTTATCGCACCAAATATTCAATGTTTTTAATGAGTTTTACAAAAATGATTGAAATGTGTTAATTCGGAGAGAAATTTTGGTATGTAGTATTACATAACCATTTCTAAAAAGCGAGAAAGTACGTGCTGTTTTAGCACCATTATTTTTTCATGTCGTTCTGTCAAATGGAAAATGATTGCATGATACTAATATATTTTCGTAGTTAGAATGTAAGAAAGGTCACTTTAAAACTTCATTTTCAAGAAATATGAATGCATAATTCCATTATAAAAATGCTGTCTATTGAGAGTTTAATTAAAACCACGATGAAAGTAAACAACTTGAGCTCCATGAAATTTAGTATTTAATGACCTGTCCCTTTTCAACCATCTGATGACTGTATACACGCGCATACGTATTCTGATTTCCTTTTGGTCATGATTCGTATCAATTTTTACAATATCAGTTGCAATTATTATGTTGGAACGATGTAAATATGTCCTGACAACCCTTAACCTCTAACTGCAAGCACTGAACTGTCGAATTGAGGCTGGCTGTCGTCTCATCTGGCTGACGGTGGAATTCATTTAGCAGTTTTAAAACCCACCAATAAAATTGTCTATTGGTTTGAACAGACCATAACAATGAGGCTATTTCTGATGTTTTCTAATAGAGTTTTAACATGGATACTTTATTGCGATTTCAATTGGTGAAAAGTTGTGTTTTCCCTTCGGGTTCTGTTTTAATCAATGCTAAATCCTGATCGGTACATGAAATAACGTTGTGTACCCAAGATGAGGTTGGACAAGGAAAATGAACTAAAGATGGCAGGTCAGCTTTAAAGAGTCACAGGACCCCAATGGACAAGACTGGCTCAAGATAGGTCTAAGTGGAAGTCATTCACAAAATAAAAACTAGTGATGCTAAAACAGCCCATACTTTCTCTACTAATGGTTTCATAATACTATTTCTACCACAATCTCTCTCCGAATTAACACATCTCAGTCATCATTTTTTGGGAAGCTCATTACAAATTGTAGAACATTAGGTGTGGGTTCTTCAATTAGTAGTCAGCAGACTCACAAGGCCTTCCGCGACAACACACATAGATGAAAGACAAGGGACAAACAATCATCAGCATGGCGGGACTCGAACCTGCGACACTTCAGACGGAGGCGCTGAGTAGGCATACGCTTTAGCCACCTTGGCGACAATTGTAACTGTTTCATGCAGCTAAATCATACCCAATAATGAGACGTAATTTACAGAACTAAAGGTATTCGCGGGGAGGAATGACGCATTCTAATCTGATATTTCCTGAAGGCTAGATATTTTTCTTTCATATTACATTTAAATCATATATTTTAGACAGAAAACCTACTTGGGCTAATTTCAATAAAGGTTTGCGGATTTCTTGAAAGAAAATACATTAAAATATTGAGAATGCAAATACATTCCTCGCAACACGAACAAAAAATATGAATTATCAAATATGTTTTAAATAATTTCTAAAATATTAATTTGTAAACGTCTAACGAAAGCTCGAATGTAAGAAAGGAACAAAGAAATATGAAATAATATACAAATTCTTACTTACGTAGTAACCAACTGCCTCCAAGTACCTCTCACATTACGTTCACGAAGCGCAGGAAATTCAAATGTGGGCCGATACATTTGACGCCAAATTACACAAAAATTACTCATATTTTCGAAAAATTCAACATGAGCTTATTTGAAGGCCAGTTTTCGATGAACACATTTCCTTACGTTCGTTTCATTCATTCAGTCATTCAGTCATACAGACGTTTTGCCGTCAATCGATTTTTCGGTATCAAGGATCCACAAAATGTGGATTCTGGCTACACCACGTTAGAGAATTTTTTCTTCTAAATTTAACCACATTTTCGTTAGCAGGTCCCAGCAATAAGAGTTTTTCTGCCGAAAAGTCGATGCTTTTCCCGCAGCATTACAAAACTTTCTCTCTAGTGCGTAAGCGGAAACATTGTAAATACGCTTATCCGGCAAACTTCATTAGCACTATCCAATTTGTAAATTAACATCCAAAATTTAAAATACTACTAGGACATACCATTTTAAAATTGTATTGATGATATTTTAATTGCAAAACAAAAATAGAAACACAATGACAAGAATAAGGATTGTAAACCTAGCTTCAAGGCAACCCATGTAGAATTAAACTACCATGTGTTAGAAGGCCAATGCTCGTTACGGGACATTTAATGGCTATAAATTAATAAATTCAATAAATCCCGCTTGGTGTGGGGGCGGGAAGGCTGGACAGGTACTCACTAACTGTGGGCGGCTCCTTGTCTTCGCCGGCGGGCAGGATGGTGCCTCCACCTCCACCGCCGCCGCCGCCCTTCTCCAGCAGCTCGCCGTCCGCCACCATGCAGCAGCCCGTGAGATTCCCATGCACGCAGTAGATGACACGCTTCGGCGGCGACAGCCCGTCCCCGGGCACCGACGACGGGAACGGCAGGCTGCCATAGCCCTGCGCCTGTCTGAAACTGAGCGGAAAACGCCACGGCATTAAACCAACAGCGCGCGTTATTCTAGAACACAGCATAATACGATACATGAGTAAAATAAACACAAATAAATAATTAAAAACTAAGTAACGGCGTTTACATCAGAAGAAAAAAGTGTTTCGAATTTTATTTTCTCGATTTAAACATTTTACTCTACCCCCTTTAGTGCAGGTGACGTTGTGTTGCATGGTCCTTGTAACCTCAGCACTCTAGCTTCGAGAGCACGGAGAGAGGGACTGAGAGACAAGCTCCGCCGCGATGTTTTCTAAACGAAATATTTATAGGTATGTAAACATTGGCTATGCTTTCTGATTAATCGCTATTCTTCTATATTTTGAAAAAAAGAAAAATACTTATTTATGGTTTATCGATTTTATTTTACACATATTAGTATTTTACACATGTTGCAATTTCTGTGGTTAGGTCAACTTTCTCCACACAATCCCTGATTGACTGTTATGCGATTCCGGGTGCGTTAACTTCTATGGTCATTAGCTCCATACGTATAGTGCACATTGTGTTATATTCCGGGAGATGGCGGTATTCCTCCTCCGTAATAACAAGCGATTCGGCGCCGACCTACACATCCGTCGGCCCTCCTTTGAGTTGTGTGCCTATTTCCCAAAGGTCTGGATGCTTTGCTAGACCCTCTTAAAGCCACTTCTTTGGAGTGCTGCACACTCCTGCCTGGACAGATGTTTGGAGTAAGTGGAAGTACGTGAAATGCTAACTATGCAGGGGTCCCGAACAGATGATAATCAAACGAGGCTAAGTCCGGAGAGTACGGCAGGTGAGACAGATTCAAAGCCTATTTCTACCATTCTTGAATTTTTGCCGTCTTGTGGGGGGCCGACTTTATCATGCTGTAGAACGTCTTCCGCCCACTTCCCTGTCCGTTTATTTTGGATGGCATGACGCTATCTGTGTATGGTACTGACATGGACGGCGCTGTCCCCGGTTCGAGCCAATCATTAAAGAAAAACAAAACAACTGAGCAAACGCTTGCCAGCCGATGTCCGCCCTTTTTTCAGTGCAGCCGACAAATAGACTTTAAAAGTGCTGCATCACTTGCCATTTTCTCCGTGGTTGGTTCTTCTGATCGGAACCACTTGATTGGAAACTTGACCAAATCCCGACGAGATCAGTATTTCACAAATTTACACGAACCGCCGATTAGGTGGGGGTGTGCAGTAATCCCAAGTAGCTCAAGAAGGGTCTTCAAGGTTCTCTCACGTACGAAAAAAAATACACATGTAACAAAGAAGGGATTGTGGAGAAAGTGGATCTAACTATGACGTTGTAAATAGTTTCTAAATGTAGTAAAAAAGTAAATAATAAAAGTAGAAGGATCTTCGTAGAAAATACGCCACATCAATCTCACTGCAACGTTTCTCTGAACAATCGATGAGCCATAAACCTCAAACGCTTGCGAGAGCCATCTATCACCTGCGCATGCCCTGGATTGTATAAACATGCAAATGAACAGAAGCAAGCGAAGGGTCACGGTCTCCGGGTCAGCAGAGTAAAGTAGAATGAGATAAGCGGAACAATCAGCAGCAGTTGACACAGCCGCCGGAGTAATGAAGAAAAATATGACATGTACTATTTTGACAATGGTGAAATATTTTCAATCTTCTGCTTCATCATACTTAAAATGTAAAAAATAGTGTTGTACAACAGCACATCCTTTCTGTATTATTGGTAATGGTAACGTAATATTACAACACTGCTAGTTTTAAGCCACTAACACTTCAGGCAATCACTTGAAAAACTCCCGACTAAACGGATCATACCTGAGTGATGAAAATCATTTTGTTGAAATGTCAAAAGCTTAAATGAAAATGGCTTTCTGACATTGAATTGAGTGTATTGTGCAATATTCTTTCAAAACGTAGAAAGAAAATAAATATGTTAAGCTAGGATACGAACCCCGCCACTGCGGGTGAGCATTACGCCCGCTGGACACGATACAATGGACTATCGTTCACTGCGCTTTAATGTAATCACAATGTTAATGTATTCCTAAGATCGTTGTTACTATGGAAAGAAATGTTAAATGATGTTCAAATGCTTAGAAACCAAGACCAATTTGTGCCAATCGAGCAGTTGGTCGAATTATCACTTTTTCGTGCGCGCGCATGTAGCTTCGTCGGTTGTTTCGACACATTCTGAACGCATGATCCATGCAAAACGTGTTTGCAGTTCTTCCGCAAACCTCAGGTTACAGGTACTTGCCCGTTTTGAGCATTAAATTGAAATTTTCTGACACATACAAGTCTGAAAAAAATATTTGCTCCTAAGAGGTTGAACTTCAACTTCTTTATTTAAAAAATGATACAATATTTTTTTTTAATTTCTGAGTAGGCAGAACCCTTGCGGAAATAGTTCCCTTCTACAATAGAAACGTTAACAAAATGTGGAAGCAAAGATAATGAGTTCCTCCACCAAGATAACTTCTACGATATAACTTCGTTTTTTGGATGGGTGCACTGATGGTATCATTCATATGTCAGTACTCGCGAGGCCTTAGACACCACCATGCCGGGTGCGTTAATAGGCTTTGGTCAGCAAATTAGTTTATCGTGAGGACCAGCAGCGAAGCCAAAGAGGAAACGATAAGATACCAGGACAAACACAAACGCTTCACACGGCACGCCACGGAGTGGCGCGGCATCTGGTCGCAGCAGACCAGCGAGGAAGGAACCGCAGCAGTGGTTGTGTGGGCTAACGCGAAGGACTAGTTGTAGCGCATCTTCAAGGCAAGATTTATTCCGTTCGGTTGCCTCTGGCACAAGAGGGCAAAGAACACACTCTTTTGAAAATGTCCAACGCGCTTCATGTACCTCCCCTCGAAATTAAAGAATTTTTCAAAATCGCAGTTTCCTGTAAGGCCAGCTTCTTCCTTCTTCTCAATCGCGCGGACATCATATGATGAGTGTCTCTCGTTTATTTTGAAAATAATAATTGCGACTGCAGGTAGCAGCACGTGTGTCATGGACGCCACTTACAAGGAGGCGCCATTCAGTATGGAACATCTTGAATTTCTAATGAAAAAAAAAACCTATTTCATGAAAAATTGAAATAAATACGTATTAAAAATAAGATATTTTTATAACGCTTCAAACTTAAAGAGTATTACTATTGTCATGGAGCTCGTCATTTTTGTAGAGGGTAGGAATGTGATAAATTACTCATAAATTAATTTAACAAAGGTTATTTTCAATATTACTATTGCACATTTCGTTTCAAAATGTGAGGAAGCATTAATAAATAATACATATTCGAATATAATTTTGAAAAAAATATCTTTACATGTTTCGATTGTTAATTAAGTTAGGGCACGAATTTACTCAATGAGCGCCCAAGAGAGACACCGATTCTATGTTAATTAGTCTTAAGTTATTAACTTGGTATTAACAGTAAAAGGCGCGTTTCATAACGACTTCTGCAACTGCTTCCTTTTCGAATGCTTTCTTTAGAAAGAGAAAAAAGAAAATGCAATAAATGGATATTCTTAGGACACGCTTTCTTCTTTCTCGATCCGTAGAAATCAGTGTACCCGAAACAGCTTCCTTTTTCTCCTCGTCCAGTGGCACGTCGGAACCCTTCCTACTTGGACTCTCTTCCCTCCACTTCGTAGATGGTCAGAGGACTACTGTTCATGCAAGTCCAGTAGCTCTCACAGCATTGTTCGACGTGAAATAATCAGCTTCTGAACTTATTAAGGCTTAATAATTAGGTTTAAATATATAAAATCTCAGCTTTTAAATGTACAAGTCTTCTTCGACACATAATAAGAAATAGTCATACATTTTCTTGACATTTGTGATTTCTGCCGAGCTCAGCACAGCACAGCCTGATATAATAAGTGGATTTCTAAACTCACTGCACTGACTAGAATATGAAGAAAAAGTGCACCGCAATTTCACTATTTTCCCGGCGTTTAAAGTATGTAGCCGCTTATTGAGGACAAACTTGACAAAAATATACAAATGTGTGATAAGTACTAAGTGTACAATAATCCTTGCTTAACTATATCGGACAATTATGCATTTTCATCGCAGCAATCAGGTAGAAGCAGCTCCCTTCACACAAATGACAAAGAAATAGAAAAAGTTGTATGTGAAATAGGATGATGGTTATAGGAAAATTAACTTAAAATAGTAGACAATTGAGACGAACAGTTTTATGCTTTAGAAAATTGAATTGAAGCGTTAAGTATAAATCAAAGATATATTATCGTTAAGTAGGGGCGAGACACTGACAGAGACAGAGAGATTGATAGAAAGAGAGAGAAAAAGAGAGAGAAAGAGTTTTTGTCCAGTTTTCCTGATTGTTTGAGCAAATGCTGAAATGGTTCGTTTTGCTTCTGGACACACTAAATGAAGCTTCACCACTTGTGCAGGTTTTCTAGAGTTCAGTGGGGAATACAGTTAATTAAATGATCGTTCACGTTCTGGCGGCTGTAAGTGAATTCCTTCACGAAGGGCAGGATAAGGGATAATAGTCACTGGAGGAACTTTTGGCTGCCAAATATTCATGTGAAGGACATCAGCGTTACCGCACATCTTACTGAGATTTCCCAGATGCACATTGAGGTCAGTCATCGAAGGTGTCATTTCGAAATACGAGATACTACTGACGACACACGCCAAGTAGCGTGTGTGAACCAAATGTAAGAACTATTATTTCTTGCTTTTCGTGTTCACAGATAATAAGACGAGAAGCTCGCACTTGTCATCGACCTCGCTCGCACTTGTCGATAAGTTGCTGTTGCAGAAACCTCTTAACTTGATTTCAATGTCACCGAATGTCAACAGTGCCAATGCGTGTTTTCAGTTGTTTATTACGCATAGAGTGTTGCTTATGTTTGCTTATGGTCACCGCGTTTGAAATCGTAAGGGATAGTGAACTTTGTGTAATGGGAGGCGCTGCTTAATAGGGCCAATACGTACCAGGATCAAGGTAGCTCGATTCAT